AAAATAAGTAATGCAGTGCTCTCTAAGACACTGGGCTTTCTGACCACATCAGCTCCATCATCAAACCCAAACTGTTTATTCGTAGCCACTTAGCTATGTCCAAGAACCAAGTCAGTAACACCCAGAAGCTTACTCAAAATTAAGCTGTGAAACTGTATGTAAGATGACAACAGACAGATATTTATTTTGGCCCTGTTCACATGAGGGGTTTTGGGACGGGAGAGGGACGGAACGGGTGCGATCCCACGGCAACATCTGGGAATCATTGCCTGCCCATCCCCGATCTGTCCCTCTCGCCCAAAACCCCGCACTAAAAAAGAACCACCTACCTAGGTGGTTCTTCCGAGTAGAGCGCCTCAAGCCGGGCCGTGGGATTGGCCGGCGTGTCCTTGCACCGGCGCATCCCGGCCCCCGGGCGTACTGTGCATGCCCGAGCATGCGCAGTTCGGCAGCCTTTCCCTCCCATCCGACTCTTCCTCCCCGGCATCTGATCGTGCCGGGGAGCAATGCGCCGCGGTTCAGGGGATCCGTGGGATCCCGCCACGGCATCTCAACTTTGGTGCGGCTTTTAAAAGCCGCACTTTTTCCTGTGTTTTCCCTGCCGTGTGGCAGGGGCCTTTGCTGACTATTTGTTTGCTGTCTGAAAGCCTATGCATGATTAATAATATAGAAGCTTCTTTACAGATTTAAAAAGTGTGTTTCTTTGTGATCTAGGCTTCAGTTTTAGCTGTCATAGATACATACTGCACAAATTGGAGTCAGGATTTACTTTAAAATCTGAATGGACAGTGTCTGAAAGGAAGAAATATTCTTCCTCTGCTTGCTAAAATTAGTGTGCATTATCTTAGTGCTAAAATTAGAGTGCTTACGCTCCCTCTAATTCATTGGAGTGTTAACAGAGACAGGATTATATGCCTTTTTTCTTTTCAGTCTACTGGGAAAAAAAATCTGACAAACAGATATTTCTTTGGCATTGGGCTATATCGTTACTGTCAGTTCATTTATTCATGGGTTTCCCCCCCATATTTAGCACTTTTACAAGTCCATTTTGCCTTGAGAGAACCAAGGCCAAAATTCTTTGCTCCCTAAAACATTAGGGAAAATCTTCTTTCAATACAATAGCCTAAAAGTAAGTATGTGTTTAGTGTTTCACTACATTTGGCAAGGTGTTATATATCTGTCTGTCTGTCTAAAACATTTTTTCCCTCTGAATCTGAGTAATAAAATGAAATCTAAAATTGGTTTATAACATTGGGCTGGCTAAATTGAAACCTGCCCTTCTTAACTGCTGTCTCATATTGTTTTATGCTTGTAAGCATTATGAAATAAATGGCTCTTATAGTTTGCAGTAACCTATTTGGCATATGCATTTGATTATTGGATTTTCTTATAAACAGAATTATGGTGTACTGAATGTAACCAGATTCAAAAAAGAAGGTATTATAACTGCCTTATATGTTCATTTCATTTTCACGTCACATCTGCACCTTGTCTTATATACTGTTTACTTGAACATGAACCTGTATTTCTCCTGCCTAATGAATTTTGACAGTTGGGATATTATTACTTTTCTCAGTGTGTGTTATTGGGGGTTAGAGTGCTGCAGGTGTTTACCAGCTAATTATGAAAGTGTACTCATGCTTAACAGTAGTTATTTTTAATCTGCACCTAAAAGGGTAAAACCAAATGAGAGCACTGAAGGATTTAAGATATGCAGAACATCCCTTTAAAAACCTGAATGCGTTGACATTTATCACATATGAGTCAACTCTTATGTAAATTATTCTGTTCTTAGTTTACTCACTGAATAATCCATGGTTTATATTTAAAAATCTACCACTTATTATACTTTTATTTGTTTTGTGTGTGTGTTTACATTATGTGTGTGTGTGTGTGTTGTAGTTTAGAAATGCATGCTTGTGTATGCATAATCTCAGCAATTTTCTTTTTTGCAAGATCAGTTCTGTTGCTTAATTTTCTAACCATCGTAACTACTTATGGGAGAGACATGAAAGAATAGTTTAAAGTTACAAAGACATTTTAGCTTTCCCATTAACACCTTTGACCCTCTCCCATTTTAGGTTAAACTAAATATAGGTCTGGAATTAAGGAAATAGCTTGTAGGATTTTTAAATGCTCACCCAAACTGATTTTTGTTTGCTTAAGCAGTCAGTATAGAGAAAGGTTTATTAAGTTTAGTACTGCAGGTCAATCTTTTCTTTCATAAAATAATGTTTGTGGGGTGAGGTACAACTAGTCTAGCTCTTCCAACCCATGCAAATTGAGCTTCCAAGGAACAGATTTTAATTTATTAAAAAAGGATTCAATTGTATTTCTGCCATATTATCCCAACCCACTTCTGACTAAGCTTGTTCACAAGTTACAATGAACAAACAATTTTATACAGTGTACGCTTATTTTTTCTTTATGCGTGTGTTGACTTATTCTCGTGTTATGCTCAACCCATGCACAACTGAGCATGTGACTGAAACTCTACGTTTATCCAAGTATTTGTCTATGATTTCATTTGTAAAGTGAATGCATGTTAGCTCTTTGCACAAATAGATGTCCTTATATACATGCAGGATGCACATGCATCCACTGTAACATGAGAACAGAGCTAATGGAATTAGGTATAGTGAGACATGAAAGGTAGTCTCAAGTTGTTCTTGCCATCCCCATCACATGTGGGGCATAATAGCTAAGTGGAGTGTGTGTATGCCATTTAAATTTAGCCAACACATGTAGTTTATTGCCATTCATGCATATGCATGAATGGCAATAAACACATGTGTTGGCTAAATTTGGTTACCATAACCAAAGGACCGGAAAGAACCTATAGGTTGTCAGCTTTAAAAACCTAATGCAAGCTATGAAGTCCCAATGATATGATCCCACTTCGAGCAGAATACAGTACACAGAGATCCGGAACAAAGCTTAATCATGGGGGAAAATGTTTAATAGGGCACTGCCCCTTTCAAAAGGATTATATTGTGCGCTTGATATGCATTTGAGCCTCAGCACTCTATATCAAGGTTTCCGAACCTTGTTTTACCTTGCAGGCATGTTTGGAATACGGCATAGGGTGGTGGTAAAGGTAAAGGTTCCCTGCTCGAAAGCCAGTCGAGTCCGACTCTAGGGTTGCGGTGCTCATCTCCGTTTCAAAGCCGAAGAGCCAGCGCTGTCCGAAGACGTTTCCGTGGTCATGTGGCTGGCATGACTTAACACCAAGGCACACGGAACGCTGTTACCTTCCCACCGAAGTGGTCCCTATTTATCTACTTGCAATTTCTTGCTTTCGAACTGCTAGGTTGGCAGGAGCTGGAACTAGAGATGGGAGCTCACTCCATCATGCGGCACCCGGGTCTTGAACTGCTGAACTACTAACCTTCCACAGCCTGCAGTTCAGCATCTTAACCACTTGAGCCACCGCATGACCAGAAATCTGTGCCACAGGAAGTGTAGCCTACTACAAAATGTAAGGGAGTGAGGTGTGGCAATGGGTGGTGGTGGGCATAGGGTGGTGGGCACAACCACAAATCTTTGCCACAGAAAGTGTAGCCTACTACAAAATGTAAGGGAGTGAGGTTATGTATAACTGTAACAGTAACTCTTCAACATTTCATGCAAAAACTCTGCTTAATTGGATGCCTTTTAAAATGAAAATAGTGTGTAAAATATTTACTTACATACACACAGCTTACCTTCAGTCATGTAGTGAAGATCCTTGTGCCTTGATGGCAGTTGCTGCCAACCAATGCTTTTACAGATCTTCATAGCCAATCATATATCCAATAGCCTGCTCGGAAAAAGCTCATTTGGCCCTACTCACTTTCATAAAATCCTTGATGGGCACCATGTTGGGGACCCCTGTTCTATATACAGTGATGATGAGCATGAGCCAGAGGTTTACTTCTAGGATTGGGAAGGGGATGCATCATTGGGGGTGGAGGCCAAAACTTTGGAATGAGCCCCACCCTAATATTTATTGCCCAAGCAAATGGTTTTACTGAAACCCCTTTTAAATCTACTATGTGTGGGGAAGACTACTAATGACTACTACATGGTAGCCCTGACCTGGATAGCCCAGGCTAGACCAATCCCATCAGATCTCAGAAGCTAAGCAGGGTCTGCCTTGGCTAGTATTTGGAAGAGCAACCTCCAAGGAATACCAGGGTCATGATGATGCAGAGGCAGGCAATGGCAAACCACCCCTCAAATGTATCACCACCTAGTAGTGCATAACTCTAAAAGAGCTAGAACTTCTGGATGCCAGACAATCTTAGGATCTCCTGGCTTTTCTACACACAATGCCATACAATAATTATTATCATTATTACTACTACATGCCTCTTAATATATAAATTTCTCTTTCTGTAGCAATATCCTTGTTGAAAAATTCTTCCTGCCAGTGTGTTGTAGAGAAGAAATGTTTAAAAAGAAGTAAACTGAAATAGAGTTGTTTTATCTAGCAGAATAGGTATTTCCGTGCCCTACCAATCCAGCCTGAATGTATTGCGTAGTCGTCTCTTCGTTCTGCTCACCAGTAATATAAATGCATTGAACACTGAAAGCGATTATGAAAATTACTCCTAGATTATGTGATAAATGGAACATCATAATACATTTTCTTTCTGTTTCTCAGCATGAAGGATGTAGTGGACAATCATCTTCATGTGTTACAGCAGGTTGGGGGAGTAACTGTGCTGAATATGATCCCATCACTCTGCTCAGCAGGGAGGAAGATCCTTTTCACACTGTGCCACATTTCTTGTATATACTTGATGTTTCATGCTTCGTATCACCTGATTTAAAATTGAGTTTTCTGTTCAGTTAAAAGGAACTATTTGTTTAGTAAGACTTTTGTTGTGCTATGCTGTTTCTCAAATATGTTTGTGTTCTGAAATAAGATCTGGTAATTAAAAAAAATCATTTTATTTTTTTGTTCATTTTATGTTTGATTTTATTTATTCCATTTTTTCTTTTTGTTTTGTTTTTAGTTGTATCTGGTAAGTTGAAATGTTATTGGCCATCTTCTCATCTTCGTTATCCCTGTGAATGGAACTCCTCTCCCCTTTTCCATCCATACCCTTCCATATCTGCCAGCTTCTGCTTCCATCTTTCACTTGTAATTGACTGGACAAACTGCAAAGAGCACATTCTGCATGAAGTATAGGTAATTTTTGTGTCAGCAAAGGTAACGGGTTGCTTATTTCTATCTGTTTTAATTATTGTAATGTTGAATTCTGATTAAGTTTGCATACAGTTCTTATGTAACATGTTTGATTCAAATCTTGCTTTTGATCTACAAATATACCATTTTTCATTTCTTTATTTTTTCATACATATTAATTGAAAGCTTATGTTTGTTGTTCGTTTTCCATTCTGTTCATTTATTTTATGGCACTCTACACTATTTATATACAGTGTGGTATTTATACACAAAACGGAAATCAATTATAATAGTACTATTTCTTTTAATTTTTTTAGTACAGTTAGAAAAACAAAACAAAAAACATGAGTATGGTTTCATCCTAAGCCATCACAGAAGCTGGGATTTTAAAAATCAAACATTAGTTTGGTTCCTACAAACTGCAGGTGGAAGGTACTTGCAGATATTGATCTCTGCCTTCCTCAGCTATTCCCCGAGATATCCATGCAACTTGTTAAGAGAAGCCTGGGGCGCATTTTTGTCTTCGCTCCGGAAGGGTGGCTATGGAGCAATGAGGCAGTGGAATCAGTTGAAATCAGCCCCTAACTGCCAAAGGAGCCTTTTGTGCTAGTGGAAACTCTGCCAGCAAAATAAAAAGGAAAGACCATTTTACTTGATTCACCATCCTCCTTGTAGCCCCTGTGTCACATGGATTTTTGTCTGTGCAGCTCCCATAGTATCAGTTTTTGGAGGTCACAAGGATGCTGGTGACAAAGGGAGATAAGAACATTCATATTTGTGTCGTTGTGCTCATGGTTTATTAACAACAACCCAGAATGATATTTGGTAACATCCTGATTATGCTTGTGGACATTAATTAACTGAATATATTCATTCTTCAATGCAATTATTGTAACTAATACAAATTGGGGGGGACAATAGCTGGTAATATTTGGAACCATATGGATCTGTCTGTATTCTGACCCACAGCTGGCTCAGTGAGGAAGGAAGTAGTAAGGAAAGGGATTCACAGGAACATTTACTAATCAGCAATTATTCACGTATCTTTCAGCCTAAGAGGATTGTGCTATGTAAATGTGGTATTTACAAGAAACATGGTGGTGTTTTACTGGATTGTGGGGCACAGCTTTGATTTCACTCTGTAAAAGAAATACTGTGATATTGATGTGGGTTTTCTGGGAAAATCTGAATTGGAACATTATCCAGAAAACATTCCAGTGCTCTAAATAATGTGATCTGATCTATCATACTTGTTTGGCTCTTTTTTTGGGGGGGGGGTCCCTAACACCCATTCTCCCTTAACAGGCACACAAAACATCTTATATTTTGTAAACAGCATTAAAAATGTAACCTATGCAAAAAAAATTGTTCAGTACAGACATATCATTTTTCCCAATAGCCACAAAGTATTTGAACTGAAATATTTGATTAGGGGAAAATTAAATTAAGCACACAGTATACTTTATATGTTATATTCAGACACATTCAAAACTTTATGACATTATTTTATGGGAATACTCATAAAAATGTAAAGACAATAGCATATACTTCCATTATGTTGCTTGTTTACATTTAAGGTGTGTGTGGGGAATTAAGACTATGAAATTTACAACTGCACACACTATTGTTATGATACTCAAAGAGTTGTGCTTGGTATACCTTATGTTGACAGTGTTATCTTTCTTTTGCTTATGTAATTATGGCACCTTCAGCATCACTGTCACTCTTTTCACTGCTTATGAGTCCCATTTCAGGTTGAGAAAGATCTTATTCAGTGACACTGGGGACAGTCTTAGCTATGTACATAATTGAAGATAACTTGTCTTCAGTTATATGTTGTTCTCCACTTGCACCTCCTGGATGACCTTGGGCAAGCCATAGTTCTGACACAGCTGTTCTTGAAAAGGGGCAGTTTCTGTCAGAGCTCTCTCAGCCCCACCTACCTCAGGGTGTCTGTTATGGGGAGGGGAAGGGAAAGGAGTTTGTAAGCCGCACTAAGACTCCTTCAGGTAGTGAAGGGCGGAGTATAAATTCAATCTCCTCTTCTTCTTCTCTTCTCTATGTTGAGGATCCAGAAGGTCTGCACAAGATGAACTTTATAGTGTGGTAAATGGAAGAAGGCAAAAGTTCAGTGAAATTTCAGTGAAATTCAGTGAAATTTTCTTTCAGTTTTCTGAATATCTCTGATGTGTCTCTTTCAGTTTTTTTAATAGCCACTGAAATTGATATTAGCAAATTGAATGCTCCAGTAACAGTTCATCGTCAGGAACCTGCTTTCGAATGTGTACAGCAATAATCTGGGATACCATATTATGTACTGAAGCATAGCAAACTGTCTAAAACACTTTATAGCTAAACCTCATTTAGTTTCTGCTGCCAGTAAAAGCAGTTTCTTTTCTCTGCTTTTCTTTCTGTAATGTCTTCAAAGTCTGATTAGCAATCTGATGATTATTGAATGCTTTCACAATCACCTTGCAATTTTTCAATATTGCCTTCATTGTATTCACAATTAATACAGCCTTTGCCAGAAGATTCTGCCCTTGAGCAAAACAGCCAAACATTAAATGAGGATACTGTGCCTTTAATATTTGCAATGCTGTTTTCATATTATTCACATTGTCCATTACAAGGGCTTGTACCTTGGGGGGAACCTACATTTTCAGTCTCTTTATTCACTGCATTGGCTTTATGATGAGAAACTTTGGTATCAATTGCTGACATCAGTATCAGTGATTCTACTCGACTAGTCCTTTGAGCAAGCATTGTTTGAACTCTCCCATACTTTTTATCTGAGAGAAAATGTGATAAACACAAAAATGATTGTAATTTATATGATGGCTGAATTAATTTGCACTTCTCCTTCCAGTACTGATTTTAGTCTATGGGGAAAGTGTACCATTTGCAAATGTACCTCAAGCCAATGTCTCATCTGCTTTTCCTTGGACTTCTTTTGACATTCTGTTCAGAAAGTTTGCAAAATAATCCAGTTTGACTGTCTTGAACAGCTACTATCTGTGGATTGCAAATCGGGTGTCATGGATCTTGCTTCTCTCCACAGACCTGGCAGCTCTATATTTTCATCTTCACTTTTTTGGCATGTCTCCTATTTCACTTACGTTATCAAGTTCCTGCAACAAAAATGGGAAAGTAATGTTTATTTTAGTCCAGAGATCTCCAAATTATGGCTCTCCAGATGTTCATGGATCACATCTCCCATTGGTTATGCTGGCTGGAAGAGAGGCAGTCCATGAACGTCTGGAGGACTGTAGTTTGGACATTCATATTTTAGCCTATTCTACTCTGGCAAGAGAGGGGGCAGTGGCAAAGAGTTTGATCCCCCCCCTCCCTGGCAGAAAGAAAGTTCTGTTGCTCCAAATACCATTTGCTCTAGAATTCTAAACCAAGGGGAGACGCATTCTGGGTGCGGACACAGGCCAGAGAACTAAGCTTTGCTGACCTGCAGTAGTAATAAAATCTTGTGTAGAGTTACTCCAATCTAAACCAGTGGACTTAAACTAGCATAATACTTCATGGCGAAGATCTTAACTTTCATTCTGGATTTTTTTTTAGTTAGGCATTCCTTCCTTCCCTTGTCACAGAAGCAGACTGTCTTATAGTTGCAGAAGGGAGAAAGAGAGAGTGGGAATGAAGAGAGAGCAGGTTCATGTGAAATATCTGACTATATATTTTTCATTAAAAATAACTCACCACCCTTATTTTAGATATAAACAGGAAGCATTATGAATTCCCTGCTATTATTATATTTAAATTGTCTAACTACTTTCTTACTTATCACCAACATCTGTCTCTGTCCACTCTGTAAATGAGAATTTATGTGCTTAAAATTTATCACCATGAACCGTTTTGGTAGGGAATACAGTTCCTGAGAATTTCATCCCAATGGGGTAGGGGAAATTATTACTGTCAGAAACTCCTTTGTCAGAAAGAAAAGTAACTAATGCAAACAATCAAGTTAGTGTGTTAGGAATGCAGGTATGAATCCATATGAACATATGGGTTGCTGTATGAATCCATATGATTGTTCTGTCATTTATCGAGCATACAAATCTACTGCATTTATCATGGTGCTACAACCTTGCTGGAAGTGGTTTGAGAGTGATAGATAAATAGAGATTTCCTCATCATTCCCAGACTTAAGACACCACACACACACACTTGGGTTCAACGGGGATTTATTTATCAAACTTATTTGGAGCTTATTAATACCCATTCCAGACCCCACCACCAAAGAGCACAATACTGCTGGTCCTAATCCATGCTATTGACACTTTCAGTAAAGGGTATGAGGTTAAATTCAGAAAACTAACTTATCCATCACAGTGCTGAAACAGTGTTTTTTATCTCATCATTGCCTAGAGATGAACAGGAATCTAGATCACTTGAAACCACATAAGAGGTCATCATGAGGCTGTTATTCGTTTGGCAAGTCAGTCTTTTGATACACACCAGAAGCATGATTATTTGGGAGCCAACCATTGCAATTCTGTAAGACAGAAACTCCGTCAAAGGTTGTGCTCCCCCAGCCCAATTTGAGAAAGCACACGGCAGTCTTGTAGAGGAGAATCAGATCTTGTACTTTATTGATCAACAAAGGAGTTAGGTGCAGATCCAATAAGGTTTTGGACCCCATAGCTCTCCCTAGGGTTACAATGGGAAACATAGGGTTTTATACCCCCTATGACAGTTAGAAATAAATCACAATTATTGGTTCCATCAAACTTTGTCACATATTCGTCACACCATTCTGATTGGGAATCCAACCTGGGAGTTGGATTTTCCCAGGCAAAAATATACCTTCTTCAGTTGAACAATAGGCTTTGTTCTTCCTAGGCTGTGAAATTCTAAAAAGTATCTAATTGTAACACATATCAGTATATCATGCAGTGTTCTTCAGCTAACGCAAGCAAACTGACATCAGGGGCATGCACAATTACAACTGGCAAGAACAAGCAAAGTCCACTGCAGTAAGATTGTCTGTCAGCATTTAGTATTTTACCCACAATGCATTTAAGCAATGAACCAGAGTGAATATCTGAATATATGTTCATGATTGATTTCAGTTACTGTGGTTAGAATCATCAAAGGCACCTAGCATATGCACCATGTAAGTGCTAAGTACACCTGCTAAGTTAAACTAACTCAGTCAGTGGCAGAGTGCAAAGCGATGTGTACAACAACTGAAGGTTAATGGGCTTAGAAAGGTGTAATTCTGCCTACTACTTTACTGCAATAGTGCAACCCTATACAGTGTTACTCCAATCTAAGTTGACTGAATTCAGTGAGCTTCGACTGGTATAACTCCTCATAGAATTACAGTGTAACTCTCTTCCCTTCCCTATGTTGCAAGTAATTTAGACTAAGCGTCTAAAGTGTTTTTTGAAGAAATGATAATCTGTAATGTGTAAGCCTTAAATACCAAAATAGTGTTCAAACATGATTGTGTCATACCTGTTACAATCAGTAAGGAAACAGAGGAAGTAATTAGTTTTTCAGATGGCTGGTAAGTTAAAGAGCTGAAAAGTATAAACCACTGAATACATCTGTTATATAAGTCCTTGCCTTTTAAAGCCTAAAAGAGTAAGATAAAACAGAAGCTTTAAAAAAATCATTTCTAGTTTAGTTCATTCACTGTGCCTAATATACTCAACTGCCATATCTCAATGTAACTGACATAATTTTTGACATTCTATTTACTGCTAGCTGAAATGGCCATTTAAGTCTCTATAAATCAAACAGTTTGGACAATGCTAGCAGTATTTATAATGTCACGATGAGCAGATGTTTCAAATTTGCCTTCATTTACATATATATTTTGTTTGAACATGCCCTTGCCTATGTAAATGAAGGAGGCATTCTGCTTCACTGTTGCTTTAAATTCATTCCTCTTCAGTAATTGCATTGAAGATTTTTAAATGGTTATAATTTACACAGTAGCAATCCTGGGGCTTTTGAGTTAAATTGAAAAAAAAAATCGAGCAATCCAGATGACATCAAAATCAAGCCTCTTATGGAAGCTATTAAATGATTCCTAAACTACACTAAATCAAAGATGATGACTTTTGTGTATCTAAACCCTGAATTTTCAATCATTTAGTGGTTTTTACTGTAAGAGTTACTAATACAGGGAGTGGTTTTGGTTCTTCTTGTGACCTCTGGAAATTCCTCTCCTTTAAGATTCTGGCACCCCCTAGAGTACTTTTGTAGGAAGCCTCACTGAAGGTAATTAGGCTTTGTGAGACTTCAGACAAAAGGCTGTTCTCTTGTGGTTTCATAGAGGAGATTTCTGTAGAAGCAACTGTGACACCAGGTCTTACAAAACAATGTCAGTGTCTGGCCTGAACCATGTTTTCTTTATTCTAAGGAGAACCATTCTCTGTGTGAGTTAAATGTTGTATGAAAGTCTCTAATTCATGTAGACAAAAAACAATGGATTCTTCTAATTTTGCTGTACATTTTTTCCTTTAGAGCCACCACATTTTGTGGTGAAACCTCGTGACCAGGTGGCTGCATTAGGCAGAACAGTGACTTTCCAGTGTGAAGCAACAGGGAACCCTCAACCAGCAATATTTTGGCGAAGAGAAGGAAGTCAGGTAAAACAATGTTTTTAACTGCACACAGTCCACCACAGGACACATCCTAAAAAAACATAGACAATTGGACTTCAGTATATACCCCTGTTGGTTACCATGTCACTTACCCTGTGAGTGGTATCTTCACACAGGCTGCAAAACTAGGAAGGCCTCTTTCTGCAGTGCATGGCTATGGGCTGCATATAGCCCAGGAGATACATATCATGTGTGCCAATTTTTAATAAAACTTCAGTTCTTTAAAAAGTAGCAAATAGCTTGTAAATGAATTTTAGATCAAACTGTTTTCCCTTTACTTATTGAACAGATTCCAATGTTTAGCAAGAAAATGAGAACACAAGATCAGTGATAAGTATCAGAAGAGTACATGAAAAATGATATATCCTGTTTGTTTTGCTAAGGGTTTAAGAACTGATAGTTATCAGAAAGGAATGGCACCAAAAACCTCCTTTCTTTCTTTAATGTAAGAAGTTGTTTTTAGGTACACATTGAAAAATGAACTTGGTACTTGATGTCATGTATATATGATATTTCAGAACTCATGACCACTATTGGGGGCATAGGGTATAATGAATACAAGGCAGCAGCTACCTGTAAAGAGTTTTTAGGGTGATGTGAACACTGTTGTCAAGACAAAAAAAACTAATTATGCAGAACTCCATGGGATGCTAGGCTTTAAGTATATGAACAGCATAACAAATTGCTTTTGAAACTCCCAGTTTTGAAAAGCCCACAGAGTAATGTGGAGAGGTGATGAGGAAGAAAAACTTAAGAGGTCAAAGCTCTTTTTGGATCCAACCTTCTATAATATTATGGATATTAAAAGACTAGAAGGGTGCCCTGCCCACTCACTCTGCTCACCAAACCCATAACTTGCTGCACTCAGGATATTTAATAGTGCTTTGAATACTGAATAAGTGGTTCTGCCTCCTGCCAACAGAATTTCAACAATACCAGACAAATCAACAGCAAGAGCAATCATCCTATGCAAACTGTAGCCAAAATAAGGTTTATAACAAACATCATACCCCGCCTTTCTAAAGGAGGAGATGTATTCCATCTTTCCTATCCATGCTGCCCTTCTCCCCAGTCAGCTCACATTGTTTTGCTGTCCTTCATGTATCCTCACTACAACAACCTGTGAGATGCGTTAGGCTGAGAGGATATACTTGCCCAAGGTAACCACTAATTTCCATGGAAGATTGGGGATTCGAATTTGGGTCTCTTAGATCCTAGTCAGACACTCTAGCCACTATACCACACAGGCTCTGATAGGTCAGAGAAGTTGTTAAACCCTCTTTGTTTTCTGACAGAGGGTTTTTTTTTTCTACTGTCCCTGTCTGTTGCCTACCCTTTCTGGATTCTCCTGAGTAAACTTGTATTTATTTATTTGTTTGTTTGTTTGTTTGTTTGTTCGATTTATACCCTGCCCTCCCCGCCAAGGCTTCTTTTGTAAATACCAGAGGGATGTTTGTGAGCTGAACTGTTCCAAAACATTCCAGTTCCCTTAATTTTTAGCACTGCTAGCCCCATCATCACCCTGAAGCTGGTGGCCAAGTCTGAGACTCCTGGATTTATTTTCTGATAAGTTACATCTGTCACAGAGGGGGGGGGGAACACTCAGCTTCCATTGCAAATAACATGGAGGGAGGGTTTTCTACTGATATTCTGGGCCAGGATTTTCCGGTTCCCTTCATTTTTGGCACTGTAAGACCCACAAGCATACTGAAGTTGGTGGCCAGTTTTGAAATGCCTGGCTATATTTTCTGACCAGTTATGCCTGCCAGACGAACAGAAAGCAGGGGGTGAAATGCCTCTCAGGCATTTCACCCTCAGCTTTCTGCTCACTGCAGCTTTGGCAGCAGTTAAAAGACCTGGTACCAACGATGTGGGGGGATGTGGTCATGTGATCCTGGAGGAAAAATCTAGGCTGCTGACCCACAAGCATACTGAAGTTGGTGGCCAGTTTTGAAATGCCTGGCTATATTTTCTGACCAGTTATGCCTGCCAGAAGCAACTATAGCTTTCCTCACAGAAAACAAGGGATAGGGATCTGGAGACTCTGTGGGCCAAGATTTACCTATTGCAACTTCCATGATTATTCTGAAGCTGGTGGCCAATTTTGTATTGTCTGTTCTTTTTCTGACAAGTAATGTGTGTCACAGATGGATTGTGTTATAATCATGCCATTTTTTAAAAAAAGGGGGTCCAGAGGGGAACTAGGAAGTTACAGGTCAGGTAGCCTAACATCTGTCCCAGGCAAATTAGTAAAAAATGGAATAAAAGATGGAATTATGAGGCACATAGGGGAACAAAGCCTGCTGAGGGAGAATCAGCATGGCTTCTGCAAAAGGAAATCTTCTCTCACCAGCCTTATAGAATTCTTTGAGCCAGTTAACAAACATGTTAATAATGGTGACCTGGTAAGACATTCTGTACTTAGACTTTCAAAAGGTTTTTGACAAGGTACCTCACCAAAAACTCCTGGAGAGATGAAGGGTTAGCTGTTACTGTTTTACAGGGAAATGGATTAGGGCTGGACACTGAGAGGATGACATACAATATTGACTGCCTGGAAAGGTCTAGAGACAGCTGTCATAAGAGAATGGGTAAGATGTCAGGCAAAGAGTAGGAATAGATGGACAGTTGTTGAAATAACATTTCGTACTCTCCAGTCTTCTGATACAGTGGCTGATTTAGGCTGCAGTCACACACACTGAAAAATCCACTTTCAATCTACTTTCCAACTGGATTTTACTGTGTAAACTGGCAAAATCCAGTTGTAAAGTGGATTGATAGTGTATTATTCAGTGTGTGTGACTGCAGCCTTAGTGACAAGTTACGTATATCAGCAGTTTTACATTTGAGTTCCCTAAGGACTCTTGGGTGTATGCCATCAGGACCTGGGAATGTATTGTTCCTTAATTTGCCCAGTAGGTTTAGAACCTCGTCACCTCAATTGGACTCAGTTCTTTGGACTCCCTTTCTGAAAACAGTGGCTGTTGCATGAGTACATGTCCCACACTTTCCACAGTGAATGCAGATGCAAAAATTCATTGAGCTTCTCTGCCACCTCCCCATTTTTCTTTAGCAATCCTTTCATTCCTTAGTCATCCAAAGCCCCAAATACTTCTCTAGCTGGTTTTCTGCTCTGGGTGTATTTAAATAAATGTTTATTATTTATGTTGATGCTTTTACTAATCCACTCCTCAAATTGTGTTTTTGCATGTCTAATTTTTAACTTACACCTCATTTGCCATACCCTGTGTTCCTTCTGTTCACTTCATTGGGGCAGACCTTCCACTTCTTAAAAGAAGCCATTTTGCTCTTTATGATTTCCTTGACTTGGGTTGTTAGCCATGCAGGCTTTCCTCTAGACTGGGCAGTACCTTTCCTAACCTGGGGGATATATCAATTGGTGTTGTTTTAAATAGCTTCCAACTATCCTGTAGGAATATGATTCTCTTTCCGTAGTCTGCTTATTTGTATAAAGTTGTCCCTCTTGAATTCAAATGTTAGTGTTTTGGATGTTAGGGATCACTTTCCATTGACAAGAATGCTGAACTTAATAGTATTGTGGTCACTGCTCCCAATTGGTGTAACATCTACATCTCTCACCAGGTCTTGAATTCCACTTAGAACCAAGTCCAAGATTACTACTCCATTTTGGCTCGGAGGCTTCTAGCACTGGCATATAAACACCTATAACACATTTTCCTCTCCAATGTGGCCCCTTTTTGCCACCCTAGTCTCTCTCCCAAGTTATATCGTGTTCCTACCAATGATACCCTGAGTATTTACACTGTCATCCATTTGCACTGAGTTGTTCTGAACTGGAGGCTCCACAGATCCTGTTGGATTTCCCCCTGGGATTGGTTTAAAAGCTGCTCTTCCACCTTTTGATATTAAGTACCAGCAGTATTGTTCTTTTTTAGTTCAAATGAAACCCATCTCTTTTGTACAGGTTTGGCTTGCTGCGAAAAGTTCCCCAGTGCCTAACAAATCTACACCCTTCTTTCCGGTACCACTTTCTTATTGACATGTTGAGACCTGTAATCTGTGCCTATCTTCCTGGCTTTGTTCATAGAATGTAGCAATTTTGAGAATGCTGGCTTTAAGGTAGCCTTTACCTTTCTGCCTAGTAAACTATTTTTTCTCTCCAGGACCACATAACTACATTTACCAATGTCATTGGTCCTAACATACACCACGACAGCTGACTTTTCCCCAGCACTCTCTGTCAGCCTATCTAGGTGATGCATGATGTCTGCAACCTTCACACCAGGCTGTCAGAATGCCTATCACAGACGCCACTCTCTATATTCCTAATAATCAAATCACTCACTACCAAAGCCTACCCAAAGGGGAATCCTCACTACATCGTTTGAGAAAGGGGTCCCATGTAAGGGACCATGTCACTCTTCTTCAGCCTGATACCTCCTCAGCCTGATGCCTTCCAACCTTGAGACTGTCAGTGTTCATGATAGAAGAAGTGGGACTATTCTAATAGATCTCTGAAGGTCTCACCCACATACCTCTCTCTTTCTCTCAGCTTCTGCAGGTCAGCATCCCTAGTCACAAAGGAACAAACTTGTTTCCTGAGAGCCAAGAGCTCCATGCATCAAGCACGCACACACAATTTCTTCAAAGCGGGCAGATAATCATTCATGTGGCACTCCCTGCAAAACACAGAATAGCCCCCACTCCCCTGCTGGGTTGTTTAAAGTTGTTTCTGGGTTGAAATCAGGTGCTTACCTGAAACTGTGCAGATTTTCATAGTCGAAAGGATACTACCAAAACTTTTAAATTTTGCACAGGCTTTTAAATAATGAGGTTGTGAGGCTTTTTTTTTTTTTGTAGTTTTATGTTCTGCATTTGCTCTGAAGTCTATTTTATGGATATTCTAGGGTGCTTGGTGGATTTCTGTGTTTTTTGTATGCTCCTGGCTTATTTGGTTTTTATAGTGATAGGTTATGATTTTATAGTATTACCTTTACTTGTAAACTACCCAAAGCAGGACTCTGGAAAGGCAGCATATAAATTTCCTTAATAGATAAATGAAAATGAAAAATAAGCAGTCTGACTTGCGACTTTTTCTACTTTCTCCCCTCCATAGAACCTGCTATTTTCATACCAGCCTCCTCAATCTTCTAGCCGGTTTTCTGTCTCACAAACTGGTGATCTCACTATTACAAACGTACAGCGATCTGATGTTGGATATTATATCTGCCAGACTTTAAATGTAGCAGGGAGTATTACAACTAAAGCCTACTTGGAGGTTACTGATGGTAAAGTAAAAAAAAATCACTGTCATTTTCATAATGGTTTATATTTCACTTCTAACATTATAACAATGTAACTTTACATTTATATCCTTCTTACTATGCAGGTGAAAATACCCATGCCTTACACTGTGGTGCAGAATTAAGTGCTTTCCTAAGCAGAGTTACACTTTTCAAAGTCCATTGAAGTAAATGGATTTAGAAGGTTCTAACTCTGCCTAGGGGTGTGTTGTAAATGTAAATTAGTGTAGCACATATTTTCCCTTATAAGGTAGCATGTCTTGAAAACGTTTCCTGGCCAATAATTGAAATATGCAAGTCCATTTTTACTCAAGGAGTTTTAAGCTTGTAATTAAATTGATCTTCCATAGTTTCAAAAACACATTATATAAATGATAAATTTTCTACAGTTCTATGGAATAATGAATATTGAGTATAAATAGTTCACAGATGATGTATATGTAAATACCTAAACTTCAAAATATATCATCCTAAAGGCCAGTGAACCTGTTGAGGCTTCATTAAATTACTCTCTGTGGTGGTTGTCTACATCCAGTCAGTCCTTTGTGTACTGCATAGATATGGCAGTTTTCGTCACACCACTGCAGTTGGATATAACATAGGTGTAAACTTTCCTGAAACAATGTATGTGAATTGCTTTAAATGCTACATAAATGCCAAGTGGCAAATATCATCATGACATTTGCAATAGCTCTGTAGAGTACTGAAGAAAATAATTTTAGTAAGTATTTTATTTATTTATGTATTTATTTTAGATTTATTGGCTGCCCTCCCTGCAAGCGGGCTCAGGGCGGCTTACAGATGAGGCAAACATGCCAATAATTAAAACAGCTAAAATCTGATAAAACAATCAATCAATCATACAGTACAAGGTGCTCAGGTTGTCTCAAAGTCCTCAGTAACAAGATGGGCTTCATTGTTTGAGTTATCATTGTTGTCTTGTCATATAGAGGACCTTAGTGCTGTATAATTATGGTTACTATAAGGAGGTATTCCAACTTTCTCAAGAACTAAAGAAATTAAGATTAAGTAGCATGTGGGTGAAATTAAAGATAACTGTGAAGTTCAAGCATGCTGTGGATGGATATGAATTTCATACCTCAGTACAATTCAGTAAACTTGTGAAACAAATAGAAAATACAGTGGCCATTCTTTGGTTTAAATTATCTCAAAGCTTTCATGATATCTGACTAGGTTCTTGCATGTATTCACAGTAATTTTGCACATATTAAAGAAAATAATGACAATATCAGCAAATCACACACATTAATTGTACATTGATTTAATTTAATATCAAAATTACAAAATAGAATTATCTAGAGAGCCAGTTTGGTGTAGTCGTTAAGTGCGTGGACTCTAATCTGTGAGAACAGGGTTTGATTCCCCACTCCTCCACTTGCACCTGGCTGGATGACCTTGGGCAAGCCATAGTTCTGATAAGAGCTGTTCTTGAAAAAGAGCAGTTTCTGTCAAGAGCTCTCTCAGCCCCACCCACCTCACAGGGTGTCTGTTGTGGGGAGGGGAAGGGAAAGGAGTTTGTAAGCCACTCTGAGACACCTTTGGGTAGTGAAGGGCGAGGATAAATCCAATCTCTTCTTCTCTTCTCTAAACAAAAGGATTTATGTAGAAAACAGTTGAGAAAGTCAAGCAACTGGTTCCCTAGCTCACTTCCCAGGACTTAGCTACAGTGAACCATGCAATGGTCACTTCCAGGCTTGATTATTGTAACTCGGTCTACGCTGGGCTGCCCCTGAACTTGACTCAGAAACTGCAGCTGATGGCAATGCCTGTGTGGGCACACATTCAGCTGGTGCTTCGCCAACTGAACTGGCTGCCTATAGAGTACCAGATCCAGTTCAAGGTTCTAGTGCTGACTTCAGAAGCCCTATGTGGCCAGGGACCTGTGTATCTCATGGACCTTCTCTCCCCATATGTGCTCTGCAGAGCCTTGCACTCAACTGATCAACATCTTCTAGTGTCCTTGGCCAGAAAGACATCCAGCTAGCCTCGACTAGGGCCAGGGCCTTTTTGGCTGTCGTCCCAACCTGACGGAACAAGCTCCCATCTGAGATCAGGGCCCTGCAGGATCTGTTAGAATTCCACAGGGCCTGCAAAATGGAGCTGTTCTGCTGGGCTTTTAGTTGAGGCAGTGGGTATCCAAGTTCCCATTTTTGGCTTCCCCTGTTGACAGCCCTAGCCTAGTGGTTAGTGGCTTGATACCTCACAACACCCCCCAGAAGATTTTACATCTGAGTGTTGCTACCAAGGGAGCTTTTACTCTGTTTTTTTTATATAAAACTTTGAACGTTTTAGATCTTAAATCTCAAATTTTAAAATGTAATTGTTGAATTTTATGTGCTGTTTCATTGTCACAATATTCTATGTGACTTTGTAAGCTGCCCTGAGCCCTCTCGTGACAAGGGTGGGATATAAATCAAAGAAATAAAATATTTTTTAAAAAAATAAAGTCACTGGTTAAGTCTAATCCCAGCATTACTGAAGAGAGCAAAGCTGGAACTGGAAAGGGTACTACATGCTCAAACAACTTATGCTTAAATATCTACTGAATAGTTCTCTTCCTGCCTAGGCTCCTGTCTGTGCTACATATATGCTTGTATTCTAGTTTTTAATAAACTTTGCCTGTTTCTGGAAAAGCTATAAATGAAGCAAAGAGGGCATCTTTCAAACAAAGCAAGGGATTCTTTTACTAGCTTTATATCTTTGAAAGCTGATGGAGGTAAATAAATCCCATGAAGATGCTAATGCATACCACCCTCTTAAAAAATCGGTGACATTTATTCTGACTAATATACATATCTCCTACTTTAATTGGTTATTTAGTCATCTTCAGATTCTTTCAAAGCCCAAAGCAACTGCTGCTGCATAGATGAATAGAAAATTGTTTCCGGTTTAATAAATCTTGTGTTTGTTTCCTTCCTGTTGTTTTATTTCTAAGTAATTGCAGACCGGCCTCCCCCTGTCATTCGACAAGGTCCTGTGAATCAAACTGTGGCTGTGGATGGTACTTTAATACTCAGCTGTGTAGCTGCAGGTACTTTAATGCCCACCATTCATTGGAAAAAAGATAGCACCCTCCTCTCCACACAAGACTCCCGGATCAAGCAGCTGGAGACTGGCGCACTACAGATTCGATATGCCAAGGTAGGTTCAAATGGAAATCCCACAAGTTCTTTTTAAATTTTTTGCTTCTTTTGTGCTTGGGATCCTGAATGGTACCATTTTTAATTTCAGAATTAATGGCATGTTAAATAACTATTAATATATTTATTTGATACTTCATGTCTTCAGATAGCTTATTCTGAATTCCAAAAGCACAGTGAACTATAATAGCACTGCTGGCAAATTATTTCATAAGTAAACTTCTGACAAGAATTAATCTAGCAGGTTTTTATACAAGATTTCCACTGAAATCAGAGGTCTTAGAAATGTTTAACCACATAGAATGGCACTGTTAGTGCCTGCAAATGGTCACAGGTTTCAGCCACACGGATTTTTTAAATCTACATCAGGATTCTCTCAAAGCTAATAAATGGTATAAACAGTAAAGTAAGCTGCAATTCCATTGTTTTTACTAGAACAGCATTTTAACTATCATTATCTTTATTGCATCAGCAAATAAGCCATAGCAATTTTAAACTATATTATTAAGAGATTGAAACTTTTCCTCTCCACTTCTGTGTCTATAATTGGTATTTTTCTACCACTAGTTCTTTGTATTCTCATTCTTGTGCTTACTGCATTCTTTACCATGCCATGTAAAAATGCAGTATTGACATGATTCTCAAAAATTAATTAGATCAAGATAATCAAACATATAGGTGGTTTCACAAGGATTTGGGAAAACATGCTTGGTCAATGCGCCAGTCTTCTGTGACAAGTTATAGCGAAACAGTTTACATTTTTTGTAAGTAGAACACCTGTTCTTACTTGCTGGGTGTTCTTGCCTTAGGATAACTTAATTCATAAAATTAAACTAAACGTAAAGAGACCTTTTCATACAATTCATTGTTTGAAACCATCTGGTTGCCTTCCCATGCATACCCTTCATGCCAGCACAGAATCTGTGGTGTTGACAGTTATCTCTGATTTTTAGCTTGACCTTTTGTGAGTGGATTAATCTTTCATTGCTTTATGAATGCATTACCGGTATCTTTTGGTAGGCGGTGTTTATATGTGGGTGATTATACTGTATGCAGCCTTTTTACATGCATCATATTATCACAATAAACTGTGAACATCAACATTTCAGGAATTCAGATGCCTGAAGAGCAACTTTTGTCCACTTCTTAGTTTACTTTTTTGAGCACCTTATTAGTAAAACATCTAAGGAAGGAGCTTTTTCTGCCTAATATCCTATGATCCTGCCATACAGAATAGACAGTCCTGAGCTAGATAGACCAGTATAGCTTTAGTACATGGCAGTCTCATATGTACAGTGCATCTTTTTCTCCAAAGACAGACCATTGGCCTTTCAAAACCAGTACTACCCTGTTTCCCCGAAAATAAGACCTACCCCCCAAATAAGCCCTAGCAGGATTTCTATGCATTTGTGGTATAAGCCCTAGTGTGTCTTCTTGAGAAAAAATAAATATAAGACAGTGTCTTATTTTCAGGGAAACACGGTATTATCACTGGCAGCAGCTTCTGTAGGATCTCATGTAGCAGCCTTTAGCATCAGCTACTACACAATCCTTTTAACTGATGCCAGGAATTGAATATGGAATCTGCTACAGTTAATGTTGATACTTTGCCACTGTGTTATGGCCTACCCTTTAACTACCATTCAACAGTCCATGACACCTGGAGAACAATGAGCACACCCAATGTTTTTGGTTTGTTTTGCAGAGATTTATTGTTTAACTTCAAATAGCTAATCCTTAATATAGGTAAACCTCTGCTTTGTCTGTCCATGGCCCCATTTCACTGATAAACATAGAACTGTTACATTTTCTATAACAAACAGTAATGACAGAAGGGGATCTAAAATAAGCTTGCTTAAGAGTAGTCCCACCTTGAGCTTTCTTAATTCAAGAGACTGTTTTTTAAAAAGAGAAATGGCTTCCTTGATCTTTTACGGTCTTGGTCCAAGTACCTTGCAAAAGAAAGCCATAAAAATCACCACTGATGGAAGGTGAGTATGAATGGAAGACATTTCCAGTAATCCAACTAAGGCTGCGGTCACACGGAGCATTAGGCACGCTAGAGAGACGGAAGATAGGCAGATTTTCCGGGCGCGATCTCACCGCCACATCTGGGAAGCGTACAGCTCTTATGGCTCACCCGAGGCTTCACTCTGAAGATGCGCGGTAAAAAACTAGTACCTTGGAGGTACTAGTGTCCGGAAACCGCGGGGCGCGTGATCGCGTTTCCGGTGGAATCCCATGGCATCCGGCGCCCGGCCATGTCCCCTCGCAAAAAGGTGTTTTTTTCCAAGTGTCCTCGGGCTGCGTACAAGCACCCAACGGGGCACGCGCACACGTCGGTGTACAGGAAAAAAACACCCGTTTGCCGTGCCGCAGGATTGTGGTGTGATTGGCACCTCCCCCCTACCACAGGACCCCCATGGGATGTCTGCTCGCGCAACCGCACGTTATTTTGCCCCGGGGCAAACAGCCACGCTTCCCCCCCACATTTTCCTGCCCATGTGACCGCAGCCTAAGATAACCACAAAACCTGACCTTTGATAATATGAGAAGAATATCCATCAAATAACCCTATTTTAGGAGAGTTTTCTGTATAAGCAAGTTATCTGTATAGGAAAGTTATCTGTTTCAGTTGAACCGTAGATCTATTTGGGCCACAATTGCACTGACGATTGTTGAACAAACAAACAAACAAGAGGTTCTTGTTCTGGTTACAGTGTTATAGTATATAGCATTATTATGTGTTATAGTAAACGTTTAAACAAATGTGAAATGTGTATCAATTCACAAAATTACCAGTATCAATTAACAAAAAATAAAACCTGTTCTCACATCTCAGCATGTTATTGCCAGTTAAAGTCTGAGTTTTCTAATTAGAATTTGTATTAAGTTAATCCATGTTCAATAGGGTCACACATTTCTAATGAATACCAGTTTATTCCATATATTTCTGTTCTTCTCTTCAGCTGGGTGACACTGGTCGGTATACATGTATTGCCTCAACCCCAAGTGGTGAAGCATCGTGGAGTGCTTACATTGAAGTTCAAGGTAATTTTTACCAAGATTCCTATATATATGGTAGAAATAATAAAAATGAGTGATTATATCCCTACTATAGTCCGATTATGCAGTAAATGGTATGAATATGATAATCTTTTTTTCAGTTCATTCATTTATTAGCAGGTATGTCTGCTAATATAATCTCATAGGCTGTTGGACGGGATGTAATTCTATATATGAAGTATAAAATTTAGAATAAAATACAACCAAGACCTCTTAGCTATACAATTTACAACAAAAATTGTAACAAAGATTCTAATAATAAAACAAATCAACAAAATTAATTGCAAAATCAGATGATTACAAGGCTGAGCGTGTGTGTGTGTTTGTGTGTTTATATGCACTTTTATCACTATTTGCTAGAATTTGGAGTGCCTGTGCAGCCACCAAGACCTACTGACCCTAACTTGATTCCAAGTGCACCATCAAAACCCGAGGTTACTGATGTCAGCAGAAATACAGTAACATTGTCATGGCAGCCTAATTTGAATTCAGGTGCAACTCCAACCTCTTATATAATAGAGGCCTTCAGGTACTATATTTATCATATGATCATGCTTATGTTTGTCAATGCTGTTAAATCACAGACATGTACTAACCTGTTATTTATGTTTTATCCTTAGCCATGCAGCTGGCAGTAGCTGGCAGACTGTAGCAGAAAACATAAAACCAGAAACATTTGCTGTTAAAGGGCTGAAACCAAATGCAATTTATCTCTTCCTTGTACGGGCAGCCAATGCATATGGAATTAGTGATCCCAGTCAGATATCTGACCCAGTGAAAACTCAAGGTAAAACCTATATGTGAGTTAGGGGAAATCATTTTCAGCCTCGGTGTGTTATTTAGATATGAGCTTTCTCTGAAAGGTAATATTAACAGGGATTTTTAACATATACATTATGCAGAACCTATGGTTACAGTTGTTTTTTCAACATACAGCAATATATATTTTGGTAACCAAAAAAAGAAGCTTTGCAATGAGCAGAGGCAGAATCACTCTTTGGCTTACCAGAAACATTTCCAAGTGAGCCGCTGCCCTGGAAGGTCACTGGGAGCCAGGAGGAAATTTTGACAAACCCCCTGATGCTGGATGTAGCACAAGAGCTGTTCACCTGAGACTAGTTCAGCAGCAACCACAATAGGCTTGCCCATTTTCTTGACCTGCTCTGTCCATGTATCAGCCAAACAGCCCCAGCAGCAGTGCTTCATAGGAGATGCTTTGCTCACCCATCACCTCCTTCCCTGCTGCCATTGATCAGGTTGAGCCATGGTCTTAGATTTGACCCAGCCAGTGGCAGCATGGGATGAGATGATGGGCAAATTGATGCCTATCAACATTGGGAAGTCCGACCAGTCCAAATGAGTTTGGGCAACTGAGAATGGGCTAGTATTTTAGGAACTGAAGAGGGAGGAGACATCTATGAGTGAGTTTTCGCAGGGATTATGGATGAAACTGAATAAAAATACAGTTACAGAGATTAGAAAAGCAGATAGGGTAGATTTCTCCCACCTTGTACTGATAAAATACACTAATTGAATGAATGTATAGTAGAAGAAGAAGAGGAGGAGGAGGAGATTGGATTTATACCCCGTCCTTCACTACCCAAAGGTGTCTCAGAGCGGCTTACAAACTCCTTTCCCTTCCCCTCCCCACAACAGACACCCTGGGAGGTGGGTGGGGCTGAGAGAGCTCTGACACAAACTGCTCTTTCAGGAACAGCTGTGCCAGAGCTTGTGACTGACCCAAGGTCACATCAGCAGGTGCAAGTGGAGGAGTGGGGAATCAAACCCGGTTCTCCCAGATTAGAGTCCGCACACTTAACCACTACACCAAACTGTGTATACTCTGTGGCTATAATAAATGTTTGCCCCAGGTATGTACAGTTGCTGAGGATTACATATAGGACTTTGATTTCTTTGTTTCAAACTGAGATTAGTTTGGGCTGCTACTTTTGATGGATCACTAATTCAGAAAAATCATGTATATAATTTGAAATGCTCTGATAAAGTGTGTAATACGTATTTTGACACTACCTAGAGCCACGTATATATCTCTTTCTCATATAGAGTAATAATTGTATCCAATAATTTCTAATCAATTAGTAGTGGTTTACAGATATCATGAGTGGTGGGATAAGGGCAGTTGTATGTGTGTCCCGGTTACCTGCCATGGAATAGCTAGTGTCTATTCGTTGATTTTATAATACTGAAACAAACCTCATTATAGTACACTATATTTTTCCCCAAACACATCTATGCTTGTTCACATATTTGCATTGTTCATAATGAATTATAGAGACAGTCACCAATTTTTACATAGTTAGAGAGGTTGGTGGTTCTATAAGTGGCCATCATTACCCTATTTTTATATTAATTCTTTTTTAATTTATGCTTCTTCTTGTATCGTTTTCCTGTCGTGGATATGCTAAAAATGTACAGTTGTATTTTGTAGCAGATGGGACATTCAAACTAATTTTTAGCTCATTGCTTGAAGTCTAAGTATATTGTTAAAATTGTTACAGATGTTCCGCCTACAAGTCAGGGTGTAGATCACAAGCAAGTACAGAGAGAACTGGGTGATGTTGTTCTGCATCTCCACAATCCCACCATCCTTTCTTCTTCCTCAATTGAAGTTCATTGGACAGTAAGTAAAGTATATCTGTATCTATATAGACATATGCACAAAGGTTCCCTGAAAGCAGGCTACTATCCTGTAACTTATTTATGATGAACTTAGAATGTACAATGCTTATATGACAAGCTGCTTATGAGAGTCTGGATGGCAATTTACTAATGGTAGTTTACTAATAAACATGTTATCTGTGCCCATGTTGACATATACTTGTTTGGTTATATCATGATATAATGCTGATAACATCTTCCTCCATGTTGGCGTTTCATAAATTGCAAAATGGGGAATAATTTCAATAAAGGAGCAGAACTTGTGTATGGAAAAGGTAATTTGTCTGATCCATAATTGCACATTTGTTTGATTTTTTTGTCTGGGTAGACGTAAATGCCAATATAGATAGTGTAGGATGTGGATCATAAGATTCAATAGCTATCATGTCAGTAATGTTCTATATTACCAGGGGTCAATGAAGAGTTTGTTTTTGTGATGCTTGGTAATTAGAAGAATTGCCTCACAAAGGGCCACCTGCAGTGGGCTTTTCCTTGTTTAACCAACAACATAAAACCTAGCAAGATTTCTTTGACCTCTACAGACCCACACTTCTGATTTAAACGGCCAATTTGGGGACAAATACAGGCAAATTGATAGTTTCAGGACAATTTCAGGACAACTTGTTTTTCATGCATGTATGGCATTTACAGAGTTGTTTACTCAGCTAGGAATGTCATCAAAACATAGCATTTGATTAAGCAACAAGGGAAAATGAAAGTTAAGTTGAAAAAAGTAGGATTTGTTTTTAAATTAGGTGTTTTAGTTTTTTTTAACTTGCATGCACAAAGCATTTGCTTGTTTAAATATTCCACCTGTGCCTCATCACACATAAATGCACAGCTTGTGGCATGTACAATTAGTAGTTGCCCTGGACAGGAATGACTCTGGTGTGAATGGACCAGCTCATATCACAAATGTACTTATATGTCGTAGGCTATGTGTTGTACGATTAGGTGGACCAGATCACATCTGATTGGCCCTAATTTATATCTCTGTTGGAGAGTAAAAAGATATTAAAGTGGTAACCGGTGGCATTATAAAATTGACCAGAGCCATATAAAGTTCTGAAGAGTTCATTTTTAATCTGATTTTTATATCCTGCCTTTTTCAGTAAGTAATGTTTTACTATTTGCCTCTTGTAATAATTTAAGACACCACCATCCCTGGCAGGCACTGTCCCCAGCTGAGAATTTAAGAGCAGAGGAAGTGATTTGCTTAATCTGGATGTATTTAATTGAGCCAAACACAGTTAGCAGAAAGAGAATTCTGCCAGTTGGCTGCCCTTTTCTTAATCTGCAGCATTCAGAGGGAACAAAAAAGAAACATAAGTAATTTCATGAAGTTGGGAAAGCTGCAACTCCTTTGGATAGAAGCGTCTAAGTATTTGTCTGATATAGTAGGTTGTTTATCATCTCTTGAACATTTAAATTTTAACATCTGTAACATCCATGTGGATAAAACCTAGGCCCTCTACAGGATACAGGGCTCAATATGTTACTGGTTATAAAATTATTACTGTTTTAGATATTAATAAAGATAATAGATTAAGATTTTTCCCTTTCCCAAAGCCATTAAATTAAATATTTCTAAATATTATTAATTCGGAAAAAATCTGGATAACAACTTGGTGGGTTTTATATGCATTATGTTTCATTACATTAGGTTTGCATTATGTTGATGAACTTAGAAATCTGTTCTTATCATCTGCTAATAATCAGTTCTTACAAAAAAAGAACACTTCTAAAGTGAATTCTGTAGAACTTTGAACTGAAACTGATAAATATTGGTCCATTCCCTTTAATGGATCTCAGTAAATGTAACTCTAACAGTAAATTCTTACTGTTTTATGGTAACAGAGGAAGAATGCAAAAATCAATGAGCTTCATAATTTGTTGTTATTGAAATGACATTTTGATATTTAAAATATAAGACTATTTTGTCTCATCTGTTAGGTTGACCAACAGTCCCAGTATATACAAGGGTATAAAATTCTGTATAGACCAACAACTGTTTCTCATGGAGAATCTGACTGGTTAATTTTTGATGTGAGAACCCCAACAAAAAACAGTGTTGTCATTCCTGAACTGAAAAAAGGTGTAAACTATGAAATTAAGGCTCGACCTTTTTTTAATGAATTTCAAGGAGCCGATAGTGAAGTGAAATTTGCAAAAACACTGGAGGAAGGCAAGTAGTGGCATGTTTATTTCCATTCCTTTATTTTGAATTACTATTTTATTCTGTTTCCCTCTGATATATTCATTACTTAATTCGCTTTGAAGTGCATGCTTTATTGGAATTCAGTCCCCATAGGTAAGGATACTGTCAATGCACAAGGCTAATCATTATGCAGTTGGCTTGTTGACATGGAAGTAAATGTTCAAAAGTGTGCAAGTGAGAGACAATATAGAAATTCCCTCAAGGACATAATAGGAAAAGTGTTCTTTGTGTTTTACTTTTTTGTTTTGCACACTCCCACTGTCCTAAGTTCATGATCTGGCAGCAAATGACTTGTGTCAAATCCAGATATTTGATCATCACTGTGAATGGTAGACATCACAGTAAGCATCAGAGGAATGATAATAACACATTAGTGGACTTCCTGTCTATATTAGTTACAAAAGGGCAATGAAAAGATTTATTTAATTATTTATTTATTGGGCTTCTAGCCCATCCTCCCCTGCAAGCAGGCTCAGGGTGAGTTACAATAAACAATAAATACAATCGAAACCTCACAGTTAACTAATAAACAATAATAAAATAACAGCAATAGCAATTGATGGTATCATCCGATCACACCAACTCCATCTGCTCTTGTATAGGCTTCCCACATGTGTGCAGGTGGATGGCAATTAGTGCAGATGGGGCAGACGACAGACGACATAAACTGCTCATAGAGCCAGTTTGATGTAGTGGTTAAGTGCATGGACTGTAATCTGGGAGAACCGAGTTTGATTCCCCACTCCTCCACTTGCAGCTACTGGATGACCTTGGTCAAGCCATAGTTCTGTCAGAGCTGTTCTCTCAAGGACAGTTCTGGAAAGAACTCTCTCAGCCCCACCTACCTCACAGGGTGTCTGTTGTGGGGAGGGGAAGGGAAAGGAGTTTGTAAACCACTCTTAGACTCCAAGTGAAGGGCGGGGTATAAATCCAATCTCTTCTCTTCTTCACATAACAAGCAATGCAAAGCAATGCAGGGCAGGAAGGGGAAGGCCAAAATAAGTAAATAGATCTTTGCCATCTCAACCATAGGCCTGGTGGGACATCTCCATTTTACAGGCCCCACGGAACTGCATTAAGTCCCATAGGGCCCTTATCTCAGCAGGGAGAGTTTTCCATCAGGCTGGCGCCAGAGCTGAGAAGGCTCTGGCTCTGGTTGAGGCTACGCAAATATCTTTGAGGCCGGTGACCACCAGTAGATTTTGATCCATCAAGCATAGTGCTCTTCTGGGGACATACTGGGAGAGACGGTCCTGAAGGTTTTTAAAAATATATATATATATTATTTTTATTTATATCCCGCCTTTCCTGCATTGCTGGTCCCAGACCACATAGGGCTTTAAAGGTCAAAAACAAAAGCTTGAACTTGACCTGGAATTCAAGTGGGAGCCGGTGCAGCTGGTGGAGGACCGGATGTTGGATCCCCATTCCCATTCCCCCTCGGCCCAGGCACAGGACTTCTGTCTTTGATGGATTTAGTTTTAGCTGACTCTATTTTAAACACCTAGCCACAGCCTCTAAAGCCCTGCCCAAAATATCTGGGGTAGAGTCTGGTCAGCTGTCCATTAACCAATATAGCTGGATGTCATCAGCATATTGATGGCAGTGCAGCCCAAAACTCTGGACCAACTGGGTGAGGGGGCATATGTAGATGTTAAATAACATGGGGGACAGAATCGCCCCTTGTGGGATACCACATACCAGATGATGAATGAGCGTAGCAAAATGTTAAATTGCCATTACTCATCCTTTCCATAACACACACATATAGGAAACATGTCTACTCTGACCCATATGCACTCTTATCACACCTCCATGGATGGCAAGCATAATAGCTGATATAGGAAGCCTTCTGTGTAACCCTAAGTTCTAATTGAAACAGCTATTTGATCTGTGGTAGTTCTGAGATTTTCATATCTGTAGTTCTATAACCAGTCCTGGAGCGGCAACAGAAAAAGATCTTGCTGATGCCAACCAAACCTCATTTAAAGAGGGATAGCAAGTAGACTTGCTTTTTGGAGCAGTGCCATAATAAGGCCTCATATAGGGAGAGAGGGATGTAGATTCATGAGTGTCTTTAAAGGTCTTAATTACATTGAACTGAACCTGGAAAGAATCTGGCAACCAATGTAACTGAGCTAGATCAGGTTAATATAACTGGTCTGATTTATCACAATCAACAAGCAGACCACTACATTTTGAATGAGCAGCAGCTCTAAGTTCTCTTCAAGGGCAGCTCCAGAATGCATTGCAATAGTCAAGTTTCAAGGATTAGCATGGAAGTCAAGCAAAACAAACACACAGTTGACCGCACAGAGTGAAATAAGTCCCAGAAGTTATCCTGTGTTGGCCATTATAGATTAACATACCTTTTCCGGACAGGGAATTTGGGGGTCAGCTAATACTTGGATAGGTGAGGTGCTCCGATGAGGGATGACTCCAAGGAGTAGTGGGAGTTCTCCCCAAATATTCCTCACTATCCCAGCTTCCAGGTACCATACACTATGGTCCTTTAGTATGGAATAACATGTTAGAAAGTCTACATAGACAAGTGAATCTAATTTCCTATTGTGCCTTGTACAGGAAGGTTGGGGGCTGGAGGGCTATAGCCAAATTGTGTGTTGGACTGTTAACCTCTCTCACACTTGGCTCCCATGCCACAGTCCGCAGCCTTAGTGTTGAGTTGGCTGACCAGGAATGTGCAGGTCTAGGGGTTGGGCCAGCTGGGGTGGACTGTAGGAACTTATTCCCTTTGGTCTTTCCTGGATATATTAAAATGAGAGGCACTTGGTATCTTATTGACACCCACCTGCCTTTCTGATATTTTGGACTTTCATTGTCAATGGCTAATCATCTTTTCTACTGTTGTGTTATCATAGTACCCATGCTATGCCAAGACCAAAGAAATCTGTATCCAATAGAGTTGTTGGCTGTTTTGCCATCTCAGTTAAGGATCCCCAGCATGGTGCCCGTGGGAGCAGTGGTACCCGTGGGTGCCATGCTGCCTACTGACACCTTTCCTGGTGCCCACCAAATGTTTATAGACAGTAGGTGGGGTCACGTGATACTGTGGTCCAGCAAGACTTCTGATTGGCCACTGGATATTTGATTGGCTGTGCAGATTTTTATAAATGTTGCTTTGGTGGCAGCTGCACCCCCATCAAAAGGATCTTCATTGTATAAATGAAAATAAGCTGTTGCAGCCATTTTGTGTCTGATTCTTCCTCCTATGGCAACTATTTTGTGGCAGCCATTTTGTGTCTGCACCCACAACACTGTGTCAGAATTCCAAAGGTGCCTGCAGGCTCAAAAAGGTTTGAGAACCCTGACCTAGGTGCATATTGATGTCATTCCCCCATCCTTTACCACCTGGGCTAATCCCCACTATGCTCATACATAATGTTATCTACTTCTACTGGTTGGTATCAGGCCCAAGAAGGAATCAAATAGATCAAAATATCCAGTTACACATGCATATTTGTTGTCACAATTGTCTGCGTGGGAACTTAAGGCATTGAGCTGGGAACATAGTTCAGGGTTTATGCAGGGATGGGCTTTCTTCATATGAGGAAACTCTCTGTAAGGGTATCAGAGACTATGGTGCATTGCAAATATCAAAAAGGCTGGTGGATACACCACATACTCTGGACACAGGAAACAGGCCTTCACTTTATGCCTTAAACCAGTTTTTCTTTCCTTAGTGTTCTTCCACCACCATATGTCATTTCCCACCCAAGCTATGCCAAGAGCAAATGTATTCAATAAAAGTGTGGGCTGGCTTCCCATATATGTGCATGTGTGTCATCATTCCCCCCCCCAACCTACACCAGCTGGGCTAATGCACAGTATGAGCATAAATAATATTACTTAATTACATTTTATAAAATATGGACTGGATCCTGTGTATCCCTTCCATAAACAAAGGAGCCTTTACTTTCAAACAAAATTTTCTAGACTTACTATGGCTCATATATTCACATAGCAATTTTGTTAGCTTTTTAAATATTGGGCGGAATTTCTGTGTGAAATCACTGCCACAGAGAAATTATCAAAGCTACCATGTTGATGAAGACTTTCAAAACTAACTGCTTCTCTGATATCATGATGCTGTTTGTGAGCTTGGAATCTGGTTGCCATGGTTTGTCCAATGTGCTTGCACTAAAGTCAGGGATAGGCGGGTATGGGGATCCAGAGCCTATGACAAAATGATAGTGTTTCTTAATGACTATCAAACGTTAGGGTAAACTTCACTCTTAGGAAATGGCTCTGTCCGAGCAGATCAGGGCTGGCAGGAAGTGACCATCCATACTCCCATCTGGGGCAGGTGTGTCTCTATACAAAGAAATGGTCGTTTAAGATTCTACATGAGGCAGAGAAGCAAGCAGCCACTGCTTTGAGTTGGATCAAATAACTTAGGGTACAAAAGCTCTCAGGAGATGCATGGATAGCAGATCTGTTTCCTCCTCTGCACTCTGCTGTAAGTCTAGTGTATTTGTGTTGGTTCCAAAGGGAACCAACCCTTGAAACTTCTCACAGTTCAAAGAAGTGGCAAGTGCATTGCAATACATAAACTCTTTCTGTATAAGCAAGTTCAGTAGCATTTGTGTGTTGCAGAATAAGCGCTGTCTATCATAGGCTAGCTGCAAACTTTTAAAAGGCTCTCTGTGTTTAATCACAAGCATGCATTTTTCCACAAACAGCTCCAAGTGCTCCTCCTCAAAGTGTTTCAGTAAGCAAGAATGATGGAAATGGCACTGCAGTTGTCATATCTTGGCAGCCTCCCCCAGAGGACACGCAGAATGGAATGGTCCAGGAATACAAGGTAACATACAGTTTTATCCTGGCAAATAATTGGCAAGTTTCTGATAGAGGTGTTTGTGGATACTTGGCTCCATCTGGTGGTAGAAACATGAAAACATGACAAAATGAATCCATCCTCCACTGTATTTTGGATTGCAATTGGGATTTTTGTATCCTTTTGAAATTCATCTTTGTTGTAAAGTAACTCCAATTAAAATATGAAGGGGGAAGTTATTGTAAAAATTCACTCCTAAACTATTTATTTTTATATTTTGCTCTGTTTTTTGACAGAACTGCAGACATAGAAACGAAAAGGATATCTGAGTCAAAGCTTACTGTGTACACATTAGGAAGTCAACAAACATGAATATAACTCAAGGCCATGTTTATGCATCATCATAAGAATAAATCTTATTTTAAATTAATCTAAGTTACATTTTAAAACTATGCAAATTATAATAATATCATAGCTAAAATTATGTTTGCAGCTCAGTGCATGAATGGAATATCTGGAATAATTTTGGTTACCCTTAGAGCCAAGCCAGGGGTTACAGCATCCCCACTTTTGACCTACGGACACCACTGCCTTTCTACAGCCTAATGCTGGCCATTTAAAAGCACTATGATGGCCTGATCATGCCACAGCTGTTCTTGCACTTGAAAAGACACAAGAGCACTGTGTCCTGTGGGGCTTCGAGCTCAATCAGAATCTGGCTCTCATGATATTTTTAAATGGCCAGCATTGAGCTTGAAAATTAAAATGTCAGTGGAATTCCTGGGTTAGACCTGGGGAGGCTATCAAGTCTAGTTTAGCGCATTGTTGTACATTGAATGTCATAGGATCTCTTAGATTTCTTGTCAGCTTGGTTTCACTTCTGTTTTGAGGAGATGTAGCTGCATTTGCTGTCACCCAGATTTACCATGGCTAATCTGCACAAGCTTTAGCAACATAATATTGTTTGTAACAAGTTAATACATAAGATTCAACTATTTAGCATTTTTATTACATTTAAAGTATAAATGTCTTACACTACCATTCTAAACAGTTGCAGCCTTCTAATACATTGAAGTTAATGGACAAAGAAGGAAATAACTGTGCTTAGGATACTACTGTTGCTGTTTTTCAAGCAAAATTGTGAATATAGCAAATACTTGACAGAGAAAGAGAGAGAGCTGCACACCGCTACATCCCATCTTACTTTATCATGCATAGTATTTGCCATCTGAGAGCTAGAAAAAAATTAAAGGTGATAATGGATAAAACAAATTTTGTATTAAATAAAAGGAGTGTATTATTTGGATAAGGATAATCTGATATATTCTCAGTAGGACTAGCAGTGCATTCAGGTATCAAATATGAGCTTTTCAATAATGTGTTATTATACTTTATACCAAATTAATTCTGGACAGCATTTGTCACATTTAAACAATTAACATATAATTGAAAATCTGTTGTCAATGTCTACAGTATACACATGAATTATCATTATCTAAAGCTGTAGATTTTCGACACAAACATTTCCATAGTACACATTTGAAATGGTAAAACTTGGTCTTTAAAAGTATCGCACTCATTCAAAAAAGAGAAAATATTTCCTCTTGTACAACTTTTCTTAATTTCCCTCTCAATTTCTGGTTTATTACTGAAAAAATTGGGGGGGGGGGACATTTTCCACACATTTCTGTGGTTTTTTCCCGGGCCTTCACATCTCTGCAGAGGAAAAGTCCAAGAAGAAGAAGAAATACATACACACTTTTAGCCCAATGCCTGTTTTTAGACATTAATTGGAAACCCATCTTCCTGCAATTTATATGTGTCTTTAAAAACATAAGGGAATGATCATTTTACTCCACCTCCTCAGCATCTGGGATTAGGGCTAAAGATCTGAAGATGTCATAATTCTCAAGGAATCTTTAAAACTAAGAACTTTTCACTGAAGAGTTGTTACCTTTCCGCAGGGCATGTAAGGCAGAGATGTTCCACTGGGCCTTTGGTTGAAGATAGCGGCAGGGCACCCTTTGGCACCCTCATACATTTCCCTGCCCCTCATAATACCTCCTCCCAGGGAAGCTGGGAAGCTGGAATTTCTCCGGTGGTCCTGGGAGTGGGGCAGTCCTTACTCTTGGGAATAGGCTCCTCCCTTTGGAACAGGGTCGGTTTCCTCAGATCAATCCAGGAAGGGGAGGGGCCTGTCCCCTGGGAACATCTCTGTCTTACCGGCCCTGCAGCTTGAGCAGGACGTGTTTCACAGGTGCTCTGTAGAGCGCAGCGATCCAGGAATGAGGAGAAGGGAGAGACCCTCCCTCTTCATTATTTTGAGCTGCAGTCGGTGGCAAACCGCAAATGAAGCTGCTGGCACTGGGAGATCACCAGCAGCCAAGGCTGTGTACGCAGACTCCCATCAGGCCCAGCCTGTGGCTGGAGGTTGCCTCCCCAACCAACGCACATCAGGGGAAGCGGCTGAGTCTGCAAGGAGACCGGGGAGGCGCTGCAGACCCAGCAAACTCCCCAGTCTCAGAGGACCCGGCATGCGGTGGAACAGAGAAGCCGGGAGCCTCTAGCCCTCACCAGAATCATGGTAAGCCCTTACAGGGCCAAAAAGCCTAGACTGGAGGCAAAGGAGGGCAGGGTGGTAGACTGGGGGGAAAAAAACCCAACCAAACCCCCAAGCTATTCAGGGAGGATGAAGAGGAAATTGTTTCCTGGGGCTTCCAACTTCCCCAACCTGGGACAGGCTGAAGTGGATTGAAGAGCCCTTCACCCCTCCTTTTTCCCCTTCAAAGGGAAAGTTCTCATGAAACAGACAGGGAGCTAAAAGGCCCAGGGAAGGCCATAGGAGGGCGGGGGAGATGGTGGTGGCCATCTTGGTTCTCTGGAGCCTCATGGCAGTCTTACTTTCACTCCCAGGCAAGCAAACAGAAAATGGCTGCCAGTTCCCTGTTCCCAGAGCTGAATAGCCCAAGCTAGTTTCATCTGTTGAGATCTCAGAAGCCAAGCAGAGTCAGCCCTGATTAGTACTTGGATGGGAGACCACCAAGGAAGTCCAGGGTCACAAGGGCAGAGGCAAGGGCAGAGGCTCTGGCCTGGATGGTCCAGGCTAGCCCAGTTTGATCAGATCTTGGAAGTTAAGCAGGGTCTGCCCTGGTTGGCTCTCTCCAGCTCTGTCTCTTGCCTTGAAAACCATATGAGGCTGCTTCCTGATAGCACTTCCACTGTTTGCCAGAGAGAGGCTATAACAGGTTGGGGGGGGGGATATACTTAGCAAGTCAGATCTATTCAGATCATAAGCTTCACAATCCCCGCAAGACTCTATGGAGAACCAGGAAACAGAGGCAGCAAGGATAGCTCAGGATAACCTGAGCTCATCAAATAAGCACGGTCAGCCCTGGTCCGTATTTGGATGGGAGACCACCAAACAATGCCAGAGGCATGACACAAAGGCAGGCAAGGCCAACCATCTGTGAACATCTCCTGCTTGAAAAGCCCAAGGGGGTCACCATAAGTGGGCTGTGACTTGATGGCTGCAAAAAGTCCAGGGAAGGACTCAGACTCCCCAGTTCCATCCTCAGATAGGGCAGAATGGGAATGGTCAGAGGAAGGAGAGGGAGTAGTACAGTCCTGGCTATTCCCTCAAGAGCTGTACTTGAGATTCCTTTCCAAGTACTTAGAATTTCCTCCAGACTTAAGGAAAATTATGATTTTGACCCAGAACCTCTGGTGGAATCTGGCCAGATGATGTACAAACTGGCAGTACCACAAGCAGTGATGCCAGCCCAGACCTGGATGGCCCAGGCTGGACCACACTTGTCAGATCTCAGAAGTTAAGCAGGGTCAGTCCTGGTTAGTACTTGGATGGGAGACAACCAAGGAAATCCAGGGTTGCTAGGCTGAGGCAGGCAAGGGCAAGCCTCTAACTTCCCGCAGCCTTTAAAGCTTAAAAAACAAAAAACCCCAAAGAACAAAAAACTAACCATCAGATTTCCCCCTCAAGTTTTATTCCCTGATACCAGAGGCTACTAAGAGACCCAAGGTGCCAATGGTTAATCCAAGGTTAATCCAGTTCCTTCGCAAGTCAGATATCATTGTCTTACCTTCCTTTGTCTCAATTATAGGCATGACAAGGAAAGGGAATGGCATTGCCTCAATGTCCGTAGGGTATTCAGTTTTTACGTTGATAGGCCAAGTAGTGGCATGATTCAGATACCCTCTTTGTTTCCTTAGGTCAACTGGTATTGCTTGCACTGCCACAGTGCCACTTGTTCTGGTGTGTGCCACTTGTTCTCATGGCAAACAAGCACCTCCCAAGACAGTTCACTTTCCCTGAGATTCTCTGGGAGAGTGACTGCTGGATGCTCCCTGCTTGCCTGCCTTAAGTGCTGCTGGCTGGGTTTCCGCATTGGAAACAACGGAGGCAGTGGGGGTGACCTGTTTGGGTGCCCATAGAATTGGACCCACTGGTCCAATTCCTTTGGGACATGGCGGTTATGTGGGGAGAGGCTCCCGAAGTTACCCTGAAAATATGGAGCCTCTCCCTCAAACTCCCTCCCTCCCAGAGCCACTAACAGCACCATGGGGAAAAAGTAATTCTTGTTCCCACCATAGAGAACAATGGAGGGGATGGGGGCAACCTGTTTGGGGGCCCTTAGATTTTGACCCCCTAGTCCAATGTTCTTGAATCTTGGTGGGTATCTTGAGGGAGAGGCTTCAGCAGCAACCCTGTGAGTTTGGCGCCTCTCCCTCAAACCCCCTCACCTCCAACCCCCAGAATATACCCTATTTTTTCGCCATTGACTTCAATGGCCCATAGGATATAATGGGGCTGAAATTGACATTCGGCTGTCCGAAAGACTCCCCAATGGGCTCCTACTGACGAAACTGACATACAGAAGTCTTACTGCCAGCCCAAAATTGATTCTGCCCTATTCAGCCGAATCTGAATCGGCTGAATTTTTTTTCACACCCCTACCACACCCAACAGCAGAAACTCATTAGCATATTAGGCCACAACCTGACAACACAGCTCATTAGCATATTAGGCCACACCCCCATGCATTCCCTTGACCTCCCCGGGCATCATATGGCTGCGGGGCACCCAGGCAAGCCAGCCCTTGAAGGGAAGGGAAGGGAGTTTAAACTGCCCTTGGACAGGCCAGGGAAGGCACGGGAAGGCATTTAAATGCCTCCCCAATCCTTCCAGGGCCCCCCCAGCCCACCCACCTCGGAGTCGCTGGGGTGGGGTTGCCCTCCAGACCTTCCCTCTGTAACCATGCACACAGAGGCTTTGGCTGTAGCGGGCATGGCCAACTCTGAAGCCAGCCAGAACTCCGTTCCTGTGCGTTCCTGTCCAAAAATAGCCCTGCAGGTAACCATAAGTCTTGCCAGTTCTCACTACTGAAAAGGAAGGGGAAATAAATTCTAGTCAAGGATATACCTATTTTCAATGTTAAAATTGTACACCTATAAAGAGAATATTCCTGGATATAAATACACTACCTTTCCCTCACAGACCACAAATACCTAACTGTCTAGCTGCTATTAGGAGGGGACAAGTAGGAAACCTTGAGACTTGTGATGGAGGATCATTCCATTCTTCCCCACTGTGCCTAATTTTTCTGACCTGATCACCACTTTCTTTTCTTTTCCTTTTGCTGCTCCCACCACTTCTTTCTGTCCTTTTCCGACCTCCATACCACTTTCTTCCCACCTCCTCTACTGCTTTCTTTCCTTTTCACACCCACACTCAGTCACTTTTTCTCATTTTCCTGACCTCTATTTTCTGGTTCTCTTTATTTTCTGGGCTTGCCCATCATCACTTTATCTTCCTTCTCTATGCTGTGGTGCCCTGGGTTGCTTTTAGACCCCAGAATACAATCCATGATCTCATAAATTTTCCAAAGATCTCAAATGGCATTTTCCACTTTGGAGGGTCATAAACCTCCCTAATTTGTTTTTAATATTTTGGGATTGTTCTGCAAACCTGATTGTTCCCTATGGTTTGCAGAAACATTTCACTGCATGTCCCTGGCCCCACAGTATAGATTTTTTGATCTGCAGACTTGCATCCTGGTTCAGAATTAGATATGTTTCCAGGTTAGAGGCAGGTAAAACTCAGACATTCTCTCATTTTAGTGTTTAAAGCATTAATTAAAAGCCATCTCCCCCTTCCTGTCCCACACACTATCCCAGGCTTATGCCTTCCTATCAGTGTTAAGGAAAGTATTTAGTTACACTAGTTAAATGACAAAGGGCTCATGATAGGATGGTTATAAGCAAATCAGTTCTGTCTAGATAGTTGATTGTGTATGATGATAAAGGCCCGATTCACAAATTCTAATCCATATATTTGCGTATCTAACATCTTAAATTTGCACTTCTTTTGGTTTCATAATGCCATAGCCCTGTACAACCCTTTTTTTTAGAATTTAAAAACTGAGAAGTCACTAGCAAAATATGATCTTTGATATTCTAAAATTATACACTGTAGTATTACATTTATCCTTGCCCATGCCATTATCCCTTTTTTTATTCCCAATTACCTGAAAAACCAAGCTCTTAGGAATAGTAGATTTCAACTTTTGCACTGTTGTCATTGCACCAACTGTCCAGAGGCCTGCTGTTTGTTGGTCTGCATTACAGCAGATAGATTTGAGTTCAATAACCAAAAAGACCAAAACGAATTTTCAGGTATAAGTTTTCAAGAGTCAAAACTCCGTGTGTCAGGCCCTGACCTGGATAGCCCAGGGAAGCCCAATATCATCAGATCTCGGAAGCTAAGTAGGGCCAACCCTGGCACGTGCTTGGAAGGGAGACCTCCCAGGAATACCAGGGCTGGGACACAGAGGCAGGGAATAGTTAAGCCACCTCTCTGAAACACCCAAGCCCCATTAGTGGTTGCCACAAGCAGTGTTCCCTCTAAGCTGAGTTAGTGTGAGCTAGCTCACAGTTTTTTAGCCTCCGGCTCACACATTTTTGTCTCAGCTCAGGAAGGAGGGCTCCAGAGCAAACTAATTTATGTAGTAGCCAAATCACTTGCTCACAACTTTAATGTCGGTAGCTCACAAAGTAGCATTCTTGCTCACAAGACTCCACAGCTTAGAGGGAACATTGGCCACAAGTCAACCATGACTTCCAGGCATACAAACACACAACTCTTCATGTCAGATACCAACTTGTACCTGACAAAGGGAACTTTGACTCTCGAAAGTTTATACTCCAAAAATCTTGTTGATCTCTAAGGTACTAGCTAGTATTTTCCCCAGCATTTAGACAGAACAGGTCACAGTGAGTTGTAAGAAAGTATTTGCAAGAATAGTTACAAGGAAGGCATTGGCTGGTTGCAGGGCTGTAAAATAGCCAGCGTTTTCATAGCTTGCTTCTTTTAATGTGAACTTTGAAAACCAGGTTTTCTTCTGAATAAGTCCAAACATGCTAAAACTGATTGCTTTTTTCAAGAACCTAATTTTTTTTTGTAGCCTCTATTAACTGTAGTAATTTTATTAAAGTCTTTTGGGGGGTGATTCTTTACTAGATTTGCTGGATTTAGGATTAGGATTATCCTTTTGTCCTCACTAAATCAATGAGAGGTTTTCTTGTTTCACAATTTGGGATTGTCAGAGAAGTAGTGGCCCAGCTCCTTCAGTTACATAACATTTGTTGTCCAGATTGTTCTGTTTTTGATACACTATATGTCCCTGCAAGAAACACTTGAGCAGATCTTCTGATCGTCAAGTCATAAGTAATGGTTAGTTGGTGAAGGGTTAGAAGATTTTATCAAATTTTAGACTATTGTGTGCATCTCTTTTGCCTTATCATTTTTCTGGCAGCTCTTGATCAACCAAACTGGGTATGGCAGAATCTGAGACCATTTTGTCAGCATGCCCAGTCTACATTGCCTGAAGCAGTTTCATCATGGCTGTCTCAGTGATGCCAGTTGTGAAAACTAGGTGATGTGATGAACCCAATGCTCTCTGAGATGCCAGCACACATGCTCAGAGAGCATATTGTTTATTTATGCTGGGGTATGCTTAGAGCATTATGGATCAAATTTGTAGACTTCCAATATACTTGTTCCAAGTGTTTATGGGAAGACATATGCCTTATATTGTTCCCCCCCACAGTTAGTAGACTGATGAATACGGGCTGTTCTGAATTTTAAAAATAGCAAAAGTATTGCATATTATCAGGTTGCACTTGGTAACCTTATTCACATGGTTATTCAGATGGTTTGTTTTTATTGGTGTTTATATTCATTTGTTAACAGCTTTTACAACAGTTCTATTAATGTTGCTGAATTCAGCTCCCAGAGTGAAGCATAAAATGTCATATGTTACATTTGATACCATTATTTATATCTCTTGTTTAAAAGCCTGTGCACATGAGATTTTATTTATTCTTCATAGGTCTGGTGCCTTGGCAATGAAAGTCGGTACCACATAAATAAGACAGTGGATGGTTCAACTTTTTCCTTAGTAATTCCATCTCTAGTTCCTGGTATTCGATATAGCATTGAAGTGGCAGCAAGTACTGGAGCTGGACCTGGAGTAAAGAGTGAACCACAGTTTATTCAATTAGGTAAGCCACTTAGCAATTTTGTCCACTTTGCTTTAAATTCTAGGGGGTATATATGCTGCTGTTTCTGCATGTGGTCAGGTGCATGTATACTTTAGTAACATGTCCATGTGAAGGTGATCTTACTGTTTGAATGGAGCCCATGTTTACAAAATGTGTTGTAGTAGTTGGATTATAATGTTCTGTGAATAAGGAGACCTTGTTCAAATACCCATTTGCCATTAAACATATCAGGTAATTGTGGCCTGGGGGCCTGGGAAGAGGGGTCACCCTTGCTGAGCCTTTTGCCACTCTCAGCCCTACAGGTGAGCTGGACCTATCAAGCCTGCATGCAGGGCCGGCCCGAGGTGTCTCTGTGCCCTAGGCGAGGCCAGCTTGTGGCGCCCGCACCCCCCAGGTGATGCCAACCTCCCAGTGGGGCCTGAAGACTGGGAGGGAGGGCGCCGCCATCGCCTCAAAGAATGAACCTCGGGAGGCTCATTTTCCTGATAGTAAGGCCCATTTAATAGACCTGAATAGAATTCTGAACAGACCTGCTTAGGATGGCACTATTAGTTTCTGGAATGGATGGCAGTGAGGTAATGAGGGGAGTTTTATTCCTCTCGCAGAGCAGAACATCAGGATCTGGTTAAGTAATAGAAGAAGTCTTGAATATACTGACTTATGTTACTGAAGCTCTTCCTCATTCTGGAAAAATGACAGGACCATTTCTTACTCTGTCTGGTTGTTTGTGGTGTGTACTGGAGAAGACCCTGATGCTGGGAAAGATTGAAGGTCAAAGAAGAAGGGGACGGCAAAGGATGAGATGGTTAGACAGTGTTATTGAGGCAATGAACATTACATTAAGCAAACTCCGGAGCACAACGGAAGACAGGAAGACCTGGCGTGATGTGGTCCATGGGGTCGCAAAGAGTCGGACTCGACTGTGCGACTGAATGACAACAACCTTGAATGAAGAGAGAAATGCTACCTCTGCTTTTGTTTTTTCGTTTACATTGTACTCCCCTCCATTCCATGTCTATCCTTACAACAACAACCCAGTTAGGCAGAGTGTGCATTAACTGGCCCATGGCCACCCAGAAAGCTCCCAAAACTGACCATGGATTCACACCTGGCTCTCCCAGGTCCTAGTATGACACTCTAACCATTACAGTCACACTGGCTCTCACTGGCTTTATGGGCACTTGTACTTCTGCTCTCCATTTGCCAATCAGTTGATTTATCACTACGTAATACTCCTCACTCTTGTATATTCTTCAAAATAAGTGAGAAAGCAGTATATGTGTGTGTGGGGGGGTCATTTTTGATCAGAAAAAAAGACTGCTTCTCCGATTCAGATTGCAGTCCTTTGTGGATGCTTTACAGTAAGAGTAAGAATCAGCCAGTTTGGCACTTTAAGCAGGAATTATTTTATTCCCATTTATGACTCTCAAGCCAACATGTTGCACTAATGTTTGTCTGCCTCCTAGAGGATACTTTGAAGAGTGCTTTGCTGAATCCTGTCAAGCTTTATAAGTGCTGTCTTTGTGTGGCACAGAATATTTTGATTGTGTATATCACTTTCTTACCTATGCAGCAGTTCTAATTTGAAAGAATAACATGTCAGTTGAGGAGAGGCTGTGGCTCAGCGGTAGAGCATCTGCTTCTCATGCAGAAGGTTCCAGTTTCAATCCCTGTAATATCTCCACTAGAAAGGATCAGATAGTAGGTGATGTGAAAGACCTCTGCCTTGAGACCCTGGAGAGCTGCTTCCACTCTGAATAGACAATATTTACCTTGATGGAAGAATGGTCTGATTCAGTATAAGGCAGCTTCATGTGTTGATTCAGTAGAAGGCAGCTTCATGTGTGTTCATGTGAGATAAAATTTAGTGGTGGTAGCTAGAAATGGGGCTAGAGACAGGGGAATTTTGAGCACTTTCACTTCCTTCCATTTCATCTTATATCACACATCATATATATCTACCTCCTTTAACTGGCATCAAGGAGAAAATTTACTTTTTCACTTTTAAATTACTGTAAGCTTGCCATACCAAGGCTGCGGTCACACGGAACAGAAGCCACACAAGTGAGACGGAAAACAGGCGGAGTTTCCGGGCGCGATCTCACCAGCACATCTGGGAAGCATAGCACTCCCGTGGCTCAACCAAGGCTTCCAGCCAAAACTGCGTGGCAAAAATCTAGTACCTCGGAGGTACTAGTTTCCAGAAACTGCGGGGCAAGGGCGGGCGTCTGATCGCGTTTCCGGTGGCATCCGGCGCCCGCCCATGTCCCCTTGCAAATAAGGTGTGTGTTTTTTTTGTCCAAGTCTCTGTAGATGCGCACACGCACCCAATGGAGCATGCGCATTTGTCATGTACACACAAAAACAAAACAGTTTGCCGCGGCGCGCGCTTCTTCGTTGTGCTCCGGCTTGTCCTGTGATCAGCACCTCTCCTTTGCCATGGAACCTCCACGGTACCTCCACAGGACCTCCACGGGAGGTCTGATCACTTAACTGTGCAGTAGTTTGCCCCAGGGCAAACAGCCACGCTTCTCCCCCGCAGTTTCCTGACCGTGTGACCGGGGCCCAAGAAGGGTGCAGTCATACTTCAAACATGTAAGGGTGGCTTTGTTTATTAGTTTCACCTGCAAGGGAGTGCTTGACTTCAGCTTTGCTCCTCAGATGATATGTGCGCTTGCTCTGAGTCCAGTCCTGATGTCCTCCTCATCTCTCTGCAGATGTTTTAGGCAGTCTATCTGACCTTTTTTTAAAACAAACAAACAAACACATAATCTTCTTTCATGTTTCTGTGATCAAACTTTGAAAAACTATTTAAATGTGGAGAAAATGCACTGAGAGTTTGTGGGGGTTCAGGTACGGTTGCAAGGGCCAGCTGAACAGTGCTGTTTCTTTTGTTAGCAAACACCACGAGCATGTTTTGGTTGTGCTCAGTCAGGGGAAGGGATTGTACATCTTCCAAAAAAACAGCAGACTCACTGCTAACATTATATACGACTCGATGTACCCATAGAGAACAGTAGTTGAAGCATTAAATAACTGATAGCCTGTTCCTTTCCTGAAGCTCCTTCAATAGGTCCATTGTAGAAGAGATAGGCCTTGAGACATATTTTTTACCAGCACTGAAAACATTTCTTACAAACACATTAACCTACGTTAGTACATAATGCATTTATGATATGCCTCACTCAAATGAGTATGAATGTTATTATTCATGCCATAGAATATCAAGTGAAATGAATACAAACAACTCTCCTTGAACTTTTATTGCTCTAGCAGCTTCCATTATGAGATGTGATTTATAAACTAATTAACATGCCTTTCATGATGATGTGCCAGCAACTTCTACTATCTATGTGTTTAAAGCCATAACCCCTGCATTGGACTGTACAGAGACAGTCCAATACTACTGGCAGGGAGGCTGCAGCAGTACTCATTGTTGTTATTTTGTTTTTGTAAATCTGCCGTACTAGTGCTCTAGTGTGAACATACTCATCTCTGTATGGCAGTAAATATATTAATAAATGAGTTAATTGTCTAGCTACAGTAATATTACAAAAAATCATGTTTAGTCTTAAATAAGAATTGTGTGTGTGTGCCACATTGTATATTTATCAAGGTATCCATACATGTTGTGCATGTATGTTTATACATAACTTGTATATGTTTATATAAATTGTCCAGCAGAACCCCTAATAAGCAAATCATAGATTGCATAGGAGCCCTTGAAATGTGATGTATTGTATATTTTCTATTTAGGGAAGGCTATCCCAACCATAAGCCATTTGCTTGTTACTGCTTAACTGTATGCAAAAAAATTATTTGTGTATAAAGCTTGGGTTGCGGTCACATGTGCGAGATAACGCGGGGGGGGGAGCGAGGCCATTTCCTCCGGAGGAATTTGACCCGCAGTTGCGCAGTCACACAGTTCTTGGAAGCTGCGGGCACAGCCTGCCACTGCGTGATCAGACGCAACCGCAGGTGCGTCAGGGTTTTTTTGTTGTTGTTTGTTTCCGACGCACTTAAATGAGGGATTGATGAATCGCATCACTGTGCTGTGAGCTCCCTATGGAGTTTGCAATGATGTGCATACCGAGATGGGGGGGGAAACAACGGCACAGAGCCGGGATGGCCTGATCAGACCATCCCAACACCATGAGAGCGCACTGGAGCAATCAGACAGGGGAAAGTCTGCCCGTGGCCCATCACAACCTGTTTACTACCGCATTTTCACAGGTCTCTTTTTACTCCACTTCTGCGGCAGAGCAAAATGGGTTGCCAATGTGTGTGGGCTGCTTCCCAGCTGTTCGTGTCTGATTGTGCCCTTTATATCCACCTGGCATCTGCGCCTATGATGGGGCTAATTGTGCGTATGATCACAGCCTTATGCAAACAGGGCTGTGGGTCACAATCACAATGTTCTGAATTTTTTATTCAAGAGTATAAGTACATGAATATTCTACTTTTACCTTAAAATTACAGGTAAATCTAACCTAGGTAACTTTTTGTTCCTTGTGTCCACAGGAGAAGGTGTATTCATGCACTCCTTCCATATTAACACATATGAAAGCATGCAAATACTTGAAGTGGCTCACTGAATAAAATCATTGCCCCCATGCTGATTAGTTCACAAACAGCTTCTTATAATATGAGCCATTAGAGCAGTAAGAGTTCAAGGAGTTTTATTGTACTCTGCGCTCTTGAGACAGTCATTACATGAACTGTATACATAATAAAATGTGTGAATGTGTTTAATATTATTGTATTTGACTTAGACAACACTCCTTATTTCTCTATTTTTACGTAATGTTAGGTTTTTTGTGATAAGTTGATAAGAAATTTTAATGGGTAAATAGATGAATGCAATCTGTCATAATACAAACAACTCTGTAAATACATTTTTTATAAAAATGTATACTGTATAGATTCATGATGTTCACAATGTGAAAATATGGTTTTCATGGAAGAGAAATCTGGTTTTTGTAGAATTAGGGTGGCACAGTTTTCCATGTTTTAGTATGATCTCAGGTGCTATAAGATAGTAAATAACTAAAATGGCAGTTTACATTAATTAGTCACACCACACTTTATACAGGTAATCCCATCTGTCTATATGGATGTTTTTTTTCTCCTGTTTTTTCTCCTCATACAATCCAATGCAACCCAATATAACCTTACATAAATAGGCATGAAATTTTTGAATCTGGAATGTTCTAAAGGGGCAAAATAAAAAAAGAAGAATTAGCTTGCTTATTGAATTACAAGGTGCTTTTAGGATCACAGAAGATGAAAGCATCTGTGACATGAAATAAAATGCTCAGTCACCAGTAAAGGCACTTACTGCTTTCAAATTGGTATTCAGCCTTGATGTTCTATAAAATACAATTCTGGTCTTCTATGGAAGTGGAGACGAATATGAAAAAGAGAAAAGTGCTGTGAACAGCATTCTAACTGTGATTTGTGTTTAAAGAAGTCTTATTACAAAACTATTGTTCATTGGAAAATACGTACACTAAAGACTCAATGCTATTTATTGTTGTAAAGCTGAAATAATACACATTGCCAGATTTCCCTCAGATTTCCCCGTGTCTGATTTCGCTCAGATTTCCCCACATCTTTCCAGTTTTTGATGGAAATGAGCAGATTTAATATCAGCTCAGGAGGTAATGTCAAGCTGTATGGTGAAAACAATCAGATGACTCATTTTATCAACTTGATGCACATCTCTGCTGTGTTACTATTTCATGTTCATAATGTCTTCTCATTACAATTGTTTTATGCCAGAAACATAACACCACTTTAGAAGCCCAGTTCTACCAAATTAATATATTTAGTATTTACCCTTGAAAATGTTGGCATGTCTTTCAGATTCTCATGGGAACCCTGTGTCACCAGAAGATCAAGTCAGTTTAGCCCAGCAGATTTCAGATGTTGTAAAACAGCCAGCTTTCATTGCTGGAATTGGTGCTGCCTGTTGGATTATCCTAATGGTTTTCAGCATTTGGTTGTACCGCCACCGAAAGAAGCGAAGTGGACTTGCTACTACTTATGCTGGTATTAGAAAAGGTATTTTATTGTGTTCTTCTAAGAGTCTGAAGTATTCATTAGTGTTTTTTAATGTATGGTCTTCTTCATCTCTTAAGATAGAAGGCTGATAATAGTAAATGAAAGGAAAAACTAAGAATTCAGTGAAAGCTTTTTTTGAAAAACTTGGACCTTCTGGCTTAAACAAAAGCCAACTCAAATTGATCTTACAAAAGTTCATATATCCTTAGACTTTGGCATGTTTCCAAGAAGAAATGTCTATCCAGGATGTTTCTCTGCTCAACCACTCCCAATTTGAAATATAGACTTCAAGAAAACTCTGTCAATTTATTAAATATATTATGATGCCAGTGAGGAAAAAATACAATACTCTGTTCATAGGAAGTCCAAAGAGTTAAGAATTGTTCAGGTCTGAACTAGTACTTCTTTTTGTGCCTGAGAAGCAACATTAAGACATTTCATATTATGGATTAGTGACACAGCATGCTTCCAGCATCCCATTCCTATTAAGATTTAGTTCTGCACTAGCTGAATCTCCTAGTCAGGCACTGAGGGCAGCCAAGAAGAACACATTTCAGTATCCTAGTAACAGTACTCTATGGCAACTTTAGATATATTAAATGAAAGTATTAAGGAGTGATCTTGGATTCTACAGCATCATGAAGATCTGAAACATCAACTCAGAAAACAAAAACCAGGAACTCTGAACCTTTTTAATGTAGGGTTGCCAGAACCCCCATTGGTGGTGGAGGTCCCCCGCCACCAGGCCCTGCCCCCCAGCTGCCAATCTGCTGGCCAACAGGGGGACTTACCAGGCCAAAGAAGAAGGCCCAGGCCATGTTGCTGGCATTGCACAGGAAGTGACGTCATCACACCAGCTACGTCTGGGTGATGCTCTGGTATTTGGGCAAAAACTCTATTGTAGAAGCCATTTTTACCATAGAGTTTTTGCCCAAATACCAGAGCATTGCAGTGGCATTACAGTGTGGTAATGTCACTTCCCATGTGACACCAGCATCATGGTCTTGGCTTCCCTCTTTCTCCTGGTAAGTTCCCCCATCCCCCACCAGTTGCCCTGGCAACCCTATTTTAATGGCATATATAATTCTTACTTCCATATTTTTCAGCCTTCCAAAATGCTTGAGCAATGTATAGATTCACATTCCATCAGCTTGCCCAACCAGAGCCAAGTGCGATCAGTGCCAAACCTCATTTGAACAGATGAGATGGAGCCAGTTGCCCTTAGCCCATGTCAGGCTTGATTCCCATGGCTCAGTGCCATGCTGTATAAAAAATGAGATCCACAGGACTCAGAGGTGACCACTTCCCCAAACAGGGATGGTTGAAAAAAAAGATAGTAGCTGACTTGAGCAAAAAGATGGTTCTTATCATCAGGAAAGAAATTAATTATCTTCCAACACGTAGAGTGTTAGAAGTCTTACAAGATATGGTGCAATGGTTTCTATGGATGCACTCAGTGCAGCTGTAGCAGAACTTAATTTGCGTTAGTTGTTTTTCTTCCAGGACCCCCCCCTTTTTTTTGCTTTATGGTTCTTCAGTCAAGTACTTTTCCAAGTACTTTTTCTTATAGCTTTACTAATTGTATGTTGCTATGCAATCTTTTATTCAAATTTCTGTTAGACTAATACTGTCATGTTGGATGTAAATACAGCTGAACTCACAGCATGAAATTTTTAGAGTACTCTCATAACTTATCTAAATTTCTTTGATGGTCTTGCATTCTGTAGGTAATGCTTTGTAAAATGTTCAGTAGTTCCAAATAGGTTTTTAAAAGTATGCTACTAAAGTTCTACCTGTAACTTAGTTATTAAATACACATGATAGGAAAACATCATCTTCAAGGAAATGGAAATCATAAGATAATCTTTTAGAACAAAAGATAAAGGTAAAGGTTCCCTTGCTCGAAAGCCAGTCGAGTCTGACTCTAGGGTTGCGGTGCTCATCTCCGTTTCAAAGCTGAAGAGCCAGCACTGTCCGAAGACATTTCCGTGGTCATGTGGCTGGCATGAATAAACACCAAGGCGCACGGAACGCTGTTACCTTCCCACTGAAGTGGTACCTATTTATCTACTTGCAATTTCTTGCTTTCGAACTGCTAGTTTGGCAGGAGGTGGAACTAGAGACGGGAGCTCACCCCGTCATGCGGCAACCCGAGTCTCGAACTGCTGAACTACCGACCTTCCACAGCCTGCAGTTCAGCTTCTTAACCACTTGAGCCACCGTTTTAGAACAAAACATCAGCACAAAAGCTGAGGAACAGGGAACTTCATTGATTTATTTTCTTTCTTTGTTGAGCTTCTGGCTTGAAGCTTTGACAACCATAAGCATTTCTGTATTTGCACATAAATATCAGTGAGAATTGTAAACATTTTATTAAAACAAGCTTTGATGATTAGGTGGCTGTATAAGTTACAAAGATTACATTTAGCTTGACCTCTCCCCAATTCCTTACATACAACATGATATTGAATGTTTAGCTCACAGAAAAAAATGACAAGAAGGCTTCATCTTTTCTTGTGTCCTTGTGATTTGCAGATTAGTGTGGGGATGCTTTATTCTTCCCTCTATAGCACTTCTTTTAAATGCATCTTGTGTGTTTCTGTGTATGAGCACATGCACACACTTTATTACTGTGCCTTTCTGTTGTTTCTTAATGTCACTAAATTCCTTTGACTATGTAAAATGAACTAGCAGAAAGAAAACCACAATAAGACTCAGAGATAAAAACACCTTTGCTACTAATAAAGGACAGTGCTTGAATTTGGAAACTGTTTTGGAGGCATTCATTTTTGTTCTGCACAATATTTCTGAAAATAAAGTGGCTTGATAAGGAGTGACACACATGCAGCATGTTCTACATTAGGCTTTTCTGATACCTTAGAGACTTAAGGGCCCTAGCCTATACAAAAATCAGTCCTGTGTGCAGCAAAAAACAACAACCCACCATTGGAGCATCTCAGCCATTCCATCATCCCTTTGTGGCAAGGCTGCCAACCTGAATTCTATGGTTAAAACACATTTAGTAGCTATTGTGCTGCTTTTCTCACATGTCTTTGTTTTGCTCAGAACTGAAGGGCTTTCCATGGATTCCTTCTTCCTATTAGCAGTGCAGAAAATATACTCTATTGTTCCACAGAAAAGGAAATGAGTGCTATAAAAAAATGGAGTAAATGTTACTCTGGAGGTCTGCTGCAGGTCTTATTGATTCAATTAAGTTCTATGGAGCCTCTAAGAATGAAGGCTTATTGGGAAGAATTATTTCATTCTGAACCTTTTCTGTTTAAATGCAAGGGCTATGACTTTAGATGGATTACTGTAGGTGAAGTTAATAGTTGAAAATAACAAAGTAATCTTTAAAAAACCCTGGAGAATTTTTTAAAAAATTCTCTTTTGTGTGCCTCTATTTACTTTGTAAGAATTTTAAAGAATGCTATAACATTGGGCTGTTGCTATGGCAACATGTAAGACACTTCAGGGTGCAGAGATGGTTAAAAAATATTTTATAGTTCTTCAGTTGCTTCTAATAATTGCTGATTCTTTATCAAAATGCTTAAGTGTCTGTATTGGCACATTTTACCAGCATTTACTTGATGCAGTGAAGAAAACAGTCAGGCAAAATAATTATACTTGCAAAAATACCGATTAGTCTTTGTTTTAAATGATTAAATAGTATAGGCTTTTTGTTTGTACATGGTTTTGGAGCAAAACATAAAGCGCTAAAGTGAAGGTCATTCAAAGGCTAAACCACACTCTGTTTTCCTCAAGAGCATAGTTAACTAGAATGACACTCTTCCTCAGAAATGCTATCTGTGGAGACAAGACACCTTTTAAATTACAAATTTTGTTTTATTCACATATCACTATGTCTGGACATATTTATCCTAGCTTTATGTTCTGTTGCTGCTTTGATTTATACTAATGTTGTATAGTCTCCCTTCCTCTCTTCAGCTTAATAACCAGTTGTTATTGTGTTTTGATTTTTCAGTCCCGTCTTTTACCTTCACACCAACAGGTATATATTTGCACTTTTCCCTTGACAGTTTGCATGTGCCTGTGATACTGTGATGCTCTTTCTTTTTCCTTCATATAACCAGGCACAATGTTATATAGCAGTAAATATTGTTACTTAAGGTGGAATATCTTCAGTGTTCTTTTATCCATATTATGGATTTAACACTGCTAACTCAACAGTAAAGTTTTATGTCATTTGGAAGGCTGCATGACATCCTATAATCTGTCATGTCAATTTATAACATGGTTGTTTTGTTGTTTGGTTAGCTCCCATGATTGCAAAGGTGCCCACTAATATCCTGCTCTTGCACAATAGACTATTGAAGTACAAAGGGCTCTGAATAAATGGAGGCAGCATTCCCCGCTAGTAAAGCTAAAGGAACATGGCTTGGCTCTACAATAAAAGAACCTCTGAGAAAGTCCTGTATTATACACTGGGGATGTCCATGATTTGCTGTATAGATCACAGTCTTTGTTCTCGCTCCATGCTGAAACTATTTCCTGGAGAAGTTGGGCAACATACATGTAAAAACAACCTACTTCTTATGTTAATTTCACTGTGGTTACCTGTTGTTGCTTACCTGTGTTAGCGTTTACTGCACAGACCCCTAAGCCCATAAAAAGAATGTTTGGTGGTTAGTCTTATTTGACTCTTCTTTTAAGCATTGCACATCTCTAGGGATTACTACAATCTCAAAAACACTGTTAGCAAGTATGCCCACATTATTAAATGTTAGTTATTTATTACTTAGTGCTTCAGTAATATAGTGTATGCTCCTGATTTGTATGATTATGTTGTTTTGAATCATATTTGTATTTTAACTTTTGAGCTATTCAAAAATCTTCAAAAAGAATGTGTTAGAGTGGCTATTGAAAGTCTTTGTGAGCCTTTGAAGTGGTTATTTAAATTTATTTTTGCACTGTTTCATATTATTTTACAACCTAATGTTAGCCTTTTATCTGTGGGGTACTATTGATGAACACTTTCATGGGTTCATCACATTCAAATTCTGTTTTTAAGCTCTGCGGGGAAAATAGGTATGCGTAAATTTAAGCACGTTATGAGTTTTATTAAGGTCATTCACAAGATTAAATTTTACATGCAGGCCTAAAGTGTCAGATATTTTACAGGAGGAAACTCTTCCAAATTGTGAAGACTAAAATATTTGGATCAGACTTGGCAAGTAATAGCATCACAACAGAAAGATTTGATAGAGTGGTTTCAAATGCAGGGTATATTTTAAAAATTCTTATTTTCCACATTCCCACTGGTTTAGTTCCACTGAGTTTAAATGGTAACAGGCCTTCTTCTTAAGCAACACATTCAGCAAAAGGCCTGTGTGCTATTGGCTGCTACGTTTTAATCCTGTTATTGTAATCACTGCAAGCAGTTATCTCTCTCTTGCAGACCCCCAATTTGGAGTTCTTCTAAGTAGCAGAATTTGGCTGCCTTTTAAAACACATGCCTACTTTGGGAAATGCATAGCTATGGAATTCAACATAGTTTGTACAGAGGCTAATCTACTTAACCCTTTGCTTAACCTGATGGTGGTGGTCACGTAACAACACACTCCTAAACTGATTTACACGCTTCTAAGCCCAATAAAAGTTAGAAGAGTCTAACTCTGTTTAGGATTGCACTGTAAATTATGTCAAGTTTATTTGAGCCAGGTATATGTTCATTTTGATTCTTTCCAAAACTTTCCCATATCCATAAATATATCTGGAAACCATAGACCAATCAGTCTGTAAGGTGCTACAAGATATTGTGTAAAAAAGAAAGCAAACATTGAATACTTTTTTTTGTCCATAAACAATCTTTGATTTTTACTGTGAGGTGAAAAATTCTAAAAAGTTGGTGGTATTTAGAATGTTTGTACTAAGTGTGTATATGATCACTGGATGTGCTTAACTAGAAACTGCTATTAAAACTATATGAAATTTGGTGCCAGTGAGACAACAATGGGCCTTTTTCCTAATTATCTTTCAAAAATCCAACATGAGCAAAATTCAAAGAATTCATTTAACCCTTGCACTATTTTTATTTTGTATTTTAGTAACATATCAAAGAGGAGGAGAAGCCGTTAGCAGTGGAGGAAGGTAAATGATATGTGCTTTTCTGGTTTCCTGCCACTCATGCAAAATAATGAACTGCAACGTTTTAGTCTGGCTAATTTGAGGCTATGGGCGAAAGTGCATTTAAAAAAATAAAACAGCAGAGGGAGCACTTTAACTTCAAACTATATTATGTTGGTTGGAGAGATTGTTAGAGTAAGTGAATTGTGGCATTTAAGACTACAAAAATATAGTAAAAAAGTAAAGAAAAACAAGTGTCAGTAGAAAAGCATGCTTATACTGCAGCTGCCAACTTGGTAGTGTTTTTTAAAAATTAATTAATTACTTGATAGAAATTGTAAACAAAAGTCCAGAGAATGCCAGTACATTTTGTGAAACCATTGCATTTCTATATTCAGGTTGCATTTCTATATTCAAACACTATCCCATACACAGAGATTTCAACATATACAAAGAGTAGAACTGGAGCTGACATCTCTTTGCAATACCCTCCCACCTTCTGAGTGGGATATATGGACTCAGAGATTTCTGTTCCAACTAGTAGCTGATGAAGGGAGTTTTGACTCTCAAAATATTGTTGGTACCTAAGGTGCTACTGGACTCATTTTTAACTGTCCTATAGCAGACCAATATGGCTAACCTCTTAAACAAAGTGTACCTGTGCTTGCTTTTTATAGTACTTAGGATCTATTTAGTGCCGTGCCATGCTTAGCCCTGCCATGGAATTGCTGTGGGCTCTTGCTGGATTTATCCTTGTGTTTGGCTAGCGAGGCTTCCCTGTCACACATAGCACCACATGTCTCTCCCCCTGTATCTGCTTCAGAACAGCAAGTGAATATGATGTAAATGGCATCGCAGAACTTCTGGGGGGAAGCTTTATTACTCAAATGAAGACATTTTTGATTGAACATAAAGCAAAGCCAAAGAAGAGGCTTGAGAATATTTACCAACATCAAGCTCTATTACTGTATGTTGTCAGGGGATACAGAAACTCTACATGTGTCCATCTAGAAGGAGCCACTTTACAGTTTGGCCCCAAATCACACTAGATTAGTCTGAACATATGAAAGAAAATCTTCTTTCCAACATCTGGCATTCCTGGAAGCTGCTGACTTTGGTTGTATGCTTGACTTTGCATCTAGTTGAGACATTGACCAATGCAAGCAGCAACCGAGGGGTCATTTGATTATAAGACTCCTACTACAAGTTTAGTCATGCCGGCCACATGACCACAGAAACGTCTTCGGACAGCACTGGCTCTTCGGCTTTGAAACGGAGATGAGCACCGCAACCCTAGAGTCGGATTCAACTGGCTTTCGAGCAATGGAACCTTTACCTTTACAAGTTTAGAAGCATTGGGATCCTGAATTAGATGCAGTACAAATTCCCCATGTCAGATAGTGTGCACCCAAGAGTGCTCAAAGAACTTTCTAGAGAGTCTTTGTCCATCATGTTCAGGATCTCTTGGAGAACGGGAAGTGCATCACAGGACTGGAGGAGCACGAATATTATCCCAATCTTCAAAAAAGGGAGGAAGGATGACCCAGGAAACTACAGGCCAGTCAGTCTGACCTCTGGGCTAGGGAAGATATTGGAGCAGGGTCATCTGAAGTACAATTTGGTAATCCAAGGAAGTCAGCACAGATTTGTCCCCAGCAGGTCCTGCCAGACCAACCTCATTTCCTTCTTTGATTGAGTGATGAGCTTACTGGATTGTGGGAATGCCATCAATGTTGTTTACCTGGATTTCAGTAAAGCTTTTAGAAGGGTTCTGATAGGTAAACTGGAGGACTGCAAACTGGACTGCAGAATAGTTACGCAGGGCTCTTTTTGTAGCAGGAACTCCTTTGCATATTAGGCGACACCCCCCCCAATGTAGCCAATCCTCCAAGAGTTTACAGTAACCCCTGTAAGAAGAGCTCTGTAAGCTCTTGGAGGATTGGCTACATTAGGGGTGTGTCGCCTAATATGCAAAGGAGTTCCTGCTACATGGAGAACTGGTTGGAGAACTGCTTTCAAAGAATAGTTGTCAATGGCATTTCATCTGATTTGAGGGAGTTATCCAGTGGGGTGCCAGGGTGCTCTGTTCTGGGCCCAGTACTTTTCAATATAAATGATCTGGATGAGGGGGTGGAGGGACTACTCATTAAATTTGCAGATGACACTAAACTCAGAGGAGTAGTGAACACCTCGGAAGATAGAAATAGAATTCAGTGAGATCTGAACACTGGAAAAGTGGGCAGATGTGAACAAGGATAATTGCAGATTTCTACATCTGGATAATCAAAGTGAGAAGCACAAATACTGCATGGGGGATACACTTCTGGGTAGCAGTGTGTGTGAACACATCTTGTGATACAGGTAGTGAAAGTAAATGGTAAAGGTTTCCCTTGCTCGAAAGCCAGTCGAATCTGACTCTAGGGTTGAGGTGCTCACCTCCGTTTCCAAGCTGAAGAGTCCAAAGACGTTTCCGTGGTCATGTGGCTGGCATGACTAAACGGCAAGGCATACGGAACGCTGTTACCTTCCCACCGAAGCGGTACCTATTCATCTACTTGCAATTTCTTGCTTTCGAACTGCTTGGTTGGCAGGAGCTGGAACCAGAGATGGAAGCTCACTCCGTCATGTGGCACTCGGGTCTCGAACTGCTGAACTACCGACCTTCCAGCTAAATATGAGCAGTCAGTGTGATTCAGTGGCAAAAAGGTTAATGCAGTCTTGGGGTATACCAACAGAGGCTTAACATCATTGATCATAATCTTGTGGTTGAAGAAGATTAGTACCTCTTGGTTATACCTCTTATTTAGAAATTACAACTTATGTAAAAATTGTACCTGCCCATAGATTAACCTTTCTGCAGGATAAAAGAGAGTTTGTAATATCTTTACCTGAGTCCCAGAAACCTGTCAAATCTCCAGTTCATGCAGTGTTGTGTTTGCAATGTCATTGATGCTATCTTTAGTAGAGCATGGCATTTACAGGAATGTATGATGAGCTCAAGTATTCCAAGTAGATTTCCTAGCAAACAGATATTTTCCTAGTAGAAAGACACTTTTTGGGAATCTAACTGGTAAAAGCATGCCTCTGTCTTTTTAAAAAATACTGTTGACTTTCCATCCTCTCAGATCTATCTTTTGTTTGTAGAGGATAGATACTGTTTTTTTCTCCCTGGGTAAACTATTAGCTACTATTTCTCATCACATTTCTGTGTGTTCTATGTGTTCTTCCTCCTGTTCTAGAAATGGTGCTTTATGATGTGTCTGTAAAATCGTGCTCTTCCTGGTCTAATGAATTTAGAAGCTGCTGTTCCTATCCTGTGATATTATCCTTATTATATCCTTGCTATAAGTAAATTGTCGTTTCTTCAGGAAAGAAAATTAAGACACAACATAGGCCTTGTACATAACCATAACGCTCAGTCTGAAATGCTACAGGTGTGTGGTGGCATAAAGAAAAATAAAGAAGAAATCTTTTCTCTTCTGCAGTGTATGCTTGGCAGCTAAGGGGTCAAGAAAGATATTCTTTCAAGTTCTATTTTAAAGATTTATCTCTGCTTTATTGTGAAACTATCTATTTACTTTGCTGGAAACTGAGATTCTCATAGACTTAAGGGTGGAGAGTTTTTTATAAGCTATTACTCATGATCTTATTTAAGAGCATTCACTTCACATTTACAATAAATCCCAGAGGAATGTGTCTGTCACCATGTTCATTGTTTCATGTACTACCCTGAAGATCTAATGCATTCAGAACAGTTATGTTCCATTGAAAGGAGTGTATATAGTGGAAACATTTTTGAAGTACCATTCTGGATGTCCAATTTAAGCTTTTGTCATAGTCTTTTGCAAATAGCTCTTGATGAAATCTGATCCAGAACTGTAAGGAGTTTAACATATTTTATTTTTTAATCACTACTGTGACTGTGGCTGTCAGTTTTTGAGCACTGGTGACTATTGGTGTAGTGGTTAAGTGTGCGGACTCAAATCTGGGAGACCCGGGTTTAATTCCCCATTCCTTCACTCACAGCTGCTGGATGACCTTGGGCAAGTCATAGTTCTTTTCAGAGCTATTCTTTCAAGGACAATTCTCTCAGAGCTCTCTCAGCCCCACCTATCTCACAGGGTGTCTGTTGTGGGGAGGGGAAGGGAAAGGAGTTTGTAAAGACTCCGAGTGAAGGGCGGGGTATAAATCCAATCTCTTCTTCTTCTTCTTCTATTAGCTTTGCTGTTTACATCATAAGTCAAGACTCTATCAACAATTTCTGCTATGAGTACACATCCACTTCATAATTTGCAGTATTCTCTTTTGCTTCCATAATTTCTTTTTTCTGTAAATCCTGCATTATTCACAACACATAGTGGCTTTAAATATTTACTTAGCTTTCTCGGAAGATTCTCATTCCTAGTTAGCTTTTCTTAATGGGGTTGTATGTGAAGCCTTAAAAAGTAGACAGTATTTTTCCAGGTTCATATCAACATAATGCTGTTCTGGGTATACTATTATTTTTATGTAACTATAGCCAACATTTGATTAATTGTCAAAAGAACATTTCTGATACATGAAGTTGTGCTATGGAATCAATATAGCATTTATTTAACTGGCTCTAGGCCTTCCAGTGTTAAATTTCATGAGACATACATGAAACTATTATGACAGAGCTTGTCTTTCCATCAGCACTTAATAACCAACTACACATCTCTTTCCACTGTTATAGTAATATACAGTGTAATATGGCTTCCAGGGAGGTTTATGCTGAGTTCATATTTGACCATTTAAGTGTTGTTTATTCAAAATCATTCCAAAATATACATTGCTGCTTCATTCAGTGAGGGAACAAAAAAGACAGCTCTCTGGTACACTGAGCTTGCAATCTAAGGAACAGTAGAGACATCAAGGGAAGACAAGGAAAAGGCAAGAATAACATGGCTGACTTTGAATGTCATAAAATTTTCGTGACCACTGCACAAGCAAAACCAGAGATGTCGTGTCTTGGACTACTAGGGGTAAAGTTTCTGTCAGTTGGAAGTGAGGAGTTGCAGATATATGGGTTGACCAAAGGCTGCACAGAAAATGTTTTGAGGAGAGATTTTAAGATATGTAGAGTACAGAGGCACTGCTGCAGGAGTTATGGGCTGAACTTCCAGGCTTAAGATACAGCAAGAGAGTATGGTCAGAGCTGGGTAAAAGACCAGAAGAGCTCCAGATGACTGAAAGTGGTGTAACTGGCAGAACAAAGTTCAAGGAGAGGGATATAATACAATAAGGCAGACATGTAATGTGGAACAAAGCTATGGAGATAAGTCTGCAGAAAGAGTTCAGAATCATTGCAGGAATTTAAGGCATCACAATTTGACAGGAGGAATGAAAGAGTTTGTCAGTGGAGCTCTGATAGACGGCTAAGCTGTGACAAGGGAAAGCAAGTGGGAAGATTGCAGTAGTCATGGTTGGAGATGATTAGCTAATAGGATAAAGAGGAAGGGTGGATATTTGCACATTATGTAAAAAGAAATAACATGGCGTGGCTATAGATTGATTGTGGGAAGTACATACTTTTCTTTTAAATTGTGGGCAAGTCTTTTTATAGATATGCAACTTTTAATTTTTTAATTATTTTCCCAGAAAAAAGGTGGGATACAGAAGGGAAAAGGGGGTGGGGGGAAGTATAAATTCATCAGGTTTGTCGAATAATATAAGCTGTTACGTACAAGAAGTAAAATCAGATATATTACCAAATATATTACATGTTTCAAATATAGAAGCAGACATTAAAGAATAAATAAGAACTTTCGTATGCAACGTTTGATAAAAATCATTGTTTATTAAGGCCAGGTCTTTTGAACATCAATGAACCTGCCCCTCAGCCATGGCTTGCAGACACGTGGCCTAACACTGGGAACAATCACAATGACTGCTCTATCAACTGCTGTACATCAAGCAATGGAAACAGTGATAGCAACCTCACTACATATAGCCGACCAGGTAAATGTTGTTTATTACTATAAGTCTTTTTCTTTAAATTTAATTTTTATTGCTTCCTGCTTATTAATTCCTTCTGTTCAAGTCTCCCTTTGCTATTAGCCTCTTCCTCTTTTGACAGATTAGAATTGAAACACGCATTATAGTCCCTTTGGGAATTCTTCACTCTATGGTAATTATGGGAAATAATGAAGGATTTATCCTAAGATGCTCTCCACCCTTCCAAGTATATTGACTTTAAGGGCTTAGAAGGGTGTAATTTTGCTTATGATGGTACTGTCAGCTTTTTTTGGTGCCCAGACGAGTGCTTATCGAAATCTGATCTTGAATGCTATGCATTATTTAAATGGACAGCAGATGTGCAGACATGTCTTATAAACTACTGAGTACCATGCTTCAGCATTTGTTCTATTTTGCAGTTTGCATGAGCTGCCACATGTAGGGACATCAACATTTCTATGTGCTTATTGCAACAGAAATGGATACATCTGCTTTTTTGTTTACACAAATGTGCTATAGTGTCAATAGACCTTCATTTCCTTTCACTGGAAAAAAACAATGGTTATGTATTTAAAATCTATGAGCAGATGCTGCCATCAGAGACTTTTAACTAACTGTTTCATTGGCTAATACCTTCCTGGGAATAGAAATAGATACGAAGAAGTTGGGAGCCAAGAGAACGTGTACCATACAGACATGTGCGCCTAGTTTTAGATCCATGAATTGTTTCTTGATACAGTTTAGGATTCTGATTTTTCTACTTATCTCAACCACAAATCCATTTCTGATTCAAAAAGCAAGTCACACATTTTTGCACAAAACATTTTTAAGCACTAGGGCCTAAAAATATGGGTTATAACTGAACACAATCTTCTCCCTTTCCCTTCCTGCTGTGGTTAGCTGATTGTATAGCCAATTACAACAATCAGCTGGAGAACAAGCAGACAAACCTAATGCTGCCTGAGTCAACAGTTTATGGAGACGTGGATCTAAGCAACAAAATCAATGAGATGAAAACTTTCAATAGCCCCAATCTAAAAGATGGAAGGTTTGTCAGCCAACCAGGGCAGCCTACACCTTATGCCACCACACAACTCATCCAGTCAAACATCAGCAATGTTAACAGCAACGTTAATAGTGGCAGCGGCGATTTGAATGAAAAGCATTGGAAGCCTTCTGGACCACAGAAGCAAGAGGTTGCACCAGTTCAGTACAACATTATGGAGCAAAACAAATTAAACAAAGGTAAACCACCTAGTATTTTCCTCCTTTTCTGTGCACTGGGGAATCCTTAGGACTTGAGTTTGAGGTTCACAGTTGTGCTGCATATATGTTGGTCTGCTCACAGTGATATTTACCATCTCAGGATCTGATAATTGGTTGCGGAGTGTAAAATTTGCCACAATAGACCAAGCACTGTGATGCAATCTAAATTCCTTTGTAGATATACATATTCCCAATTAGCAGTGTCAAAGAGTTAATTAGTACTACAATAATCTTCCAAGATCAAATTTAGTCTAACAAATAAGCAGCTGTATCTTAAAAGAGAGTAAAATAAAATATATTTCATATGGCTTTGAACTAATAACAAATGAGTGTTTGGGACTGAGACTGCATCTTTAATTCATAAAGGACATGCAAGGTACAGGCATCACACTCAAATTTTAAACCAGGTCAACCCATTCTTCTGGTGGTGAATGTAGGGTAATTAAACGTACACTTCCTTGAAAATGTCCCAAAGTACGTATAAAAATCTGGAAAACTTTATTGTGGCAGATGCCAAAGATGGAAGCAGATTAATCTGATGAATTTTAGCATTTCCATTACATTCACCATCTTACTTAACATTTTCGGACTTAAAACTGTTGTTCTTTTCAAAAGTACAGAATCCATAAGCTAAAAATGAATTGATTTCAGTGTTAGCTTCAAAATCAGAATGTACTTTCTATCCTTAAGGGCACATCTATCTAATTTAACATGTTAGATATAGAAAAAGAAGTTATGTGATTTCTTACTAATCCTTCAGGCTACTATTCAGCTTGCTTCAATAACCTGATTTGCAAAATGCTGGGCCTGCTCTAACTGTGAAGAGTTGGAATACATTGTTGTAGCTTATATGGCCACCTAGTGATATGGAAGAGGTAAAGGACATGTTCCATTACAAAAGGTTGATTCAATTTATTTACTACGTGACCTGCTTATCCACAGAATAGTTCAGAGGCCACATAAATCTGACATGAGTATACAGCTGTTTGATATAGCAATAAAGGCATTTAATTATATTTTGCCTTTCATTTTTCTACATGTATAGGTTTTTATTTCAAAACTGTACTTTTAAATCCAGAATAACATTTATTCTTTCTAATTAATTTTTTAAATTTTTTTTAGATTTTTGTGTTTATATGTGTGTGCGTGCTCCCTCTCAGTAGAGTGTCTGTACATACATCCAACTCTATAGTTACAATAGCTGAGCATTGCACCATAGAAGAGCCCATTTAATTCATTTTATGGTCAGATAAATATATGGTGTTTTTTATCTTCTGTGTAAATAGATGTATGAAAGAGAGTAAAATGCAAGAATAATAATCAAATATGTATATTCTGACAGATGGGTTACCATTTGGGTAGATTTTTGCCTAGTTCTATTTTTGATTTATTGTAATTTTAAAGACTTCTATCCTGTCTTTCTCCTGAAAGGCAGTCAAGGCAGCTAAAAGAGAAAAAGAACTAAAACAATAGAGTAGATAATAGAACAACAGTTCTAAAACCATCTTATAAACAACAAACTATCCAGAAACACAAAAACAAAACAGAAAGACCAGTTTCCTAATCAGTTATATGTCATCATATGCTCACTTTAAAATTCTGCTTTGTACCACTTCTTGACGATCAGGAGACTAGATGCTTTCCTAATGTTTTCTGGCAGACCGCACAACAGGAAGGCAGTCGCAGTAATCCTGACATTGGAAAGTGCCTGATAACTCTTTGTTTTTGTGTAGTATATTTGTATGCCATTTTTTACTGAGACACAGGACTCAAAGCTGCTTAGGTACTCTTAAGTCACAGGTAACCTAAGATCTATATATCTAAATCTCAACGACTAATACTGATTTCCACAAACAGAGGGCACGCTCTCCCCCAACAGGTTTTTCTGCAGACTCAGGGAACTCCATGAGCCTGCAGAAAAATCCAAAAAGTTTTTTTAAAAACTCAGGGAGTGTTGAATCCCTCCCCGCCCCGTACCTTTTGAAATGGCCACCGCAGGGATCTACTCAAGGCCCTGCTGCATTGACAGTGAGAGATAGACTGGCTGATAGCCAGAGAGAGAGAGAGAGAGGGAAGAAAAAAGCAGAACTGTAGCTGGGATTGGGGAGGATTCCTCCTGCAGTATAAATGGCTAAATAATCTGAGCTTCTCACCCCACCTCTTTTGCTGCGGGCTCCACTGTCCTCTTAAAACTTCCCAGCCCAGAATTACAACTGCTGTCCAGGTGACAGAGCTCAGTTCTCCTGAATAAAACAGCTGTGTTGGAGGGTGGAGACTATGGCATTATAACCTGCTGAGGCTCCTTCCCTCCCCAAGCCTCACTGTCCCAAGGCTCCACCCTGAAATCTCCAGGAATTTCCCAACCTAGAGCTGGCAGCCCTAAGGTGAATTGATCTCTGTAACTGTGGGGGGAGAGGAAACAGGTGGCTGTCTGGGAGCACCACCGCTGCTGCTGCTGCTGCCGTGTGGGGTGGGGGAGGAAACAGGCAGGAGGCTAGGAGAGTGATGGTGCCAGAAAGAGTGATGGGGGCAGAAAGAGAAAGGGTGATGAGGTGGGGAGGTGGAAAAACAAAGAGAATGATGAGGGGGCAGAAAGAGAAAGGAAGTAACATGCATGGAGGAGAGAGAGAGAGTATAGGAGAAGAGTGTGAGAGAGGTAGGGGGAAAGGGGAAGAAGCAAAGGTGTAAAGAATGGGATAACTGCCCTGCAAGTGTCTTGCTGGTCCCCATTTGTAACAGTATAATTGCAGCCCTGTTATTACAAAACTCAAAACTGGGAGGAAATGCTATAAATGCATAAAAAACATCTATAGAGACAAAAAATAGAAAAGCTGGCAATCTACAGTCCAAGAAAGTAAGCAGCCTTCCCATTCCCAGTCCCAGGTATCAGATCTTTATATAATCCGTAAGCATGGAGGCAGATTTGCATCTCTGCAAGGTGAATCACCCTAGAAAGCTGCAGGCCAAGCCTCTCTGGTGGGCTCAATAAACCTGCTACATTTGTATGAACAGCAATGGTCTTTCAGGAATGTGGTTCCAGGTTATTATGAGTTTCAAAGATTAAAAGCAGCACCTTGAATTGAGCTCCAAAACAAATAGGTAACTAGTATATGGGTTTCAAAATAGGTGCTATATGAGCAAAACAGTTTCTCAACAATATACAAACGGCTGTATTTGGACCATTTGCTGTTTCTGAACAGTCTGTACAACTATACTTTTAGCAACCATATTCATTTGTTTCTCAAGCAGGAGGATATTTCTAACAGGACCCCTGAGGTCCTAAGTGAGCTTACTAAAGAAAGATAGACCTAATTGAGAATAGGCATCAAAATTCTGTCCAGAACTTCATTCTTACCAATTAACACCATCTCCTCCTTCTATGGATTGCATTTTACCTTGTGCACTTGAGTAGAAAGAACTTAAACCATTTGAGCACTGTGTTGTTTTTCACTAGTATTAATTAAACATCTACAATTGACACAGACTAGATTCTCTCTATATATATTTAAAACATCTGTTAGTCACTTTTCTTCCTTGCGGAACTCAAGGAGGCTTATAGTAAAACATTATTTAAAAAACCAACAATTGTAAATCCTATAAAAGTCACAGATAAAAAAACTCCTATTAGGACTGCCAATCATAAAAGCTAAATCAATCCGAGTGCAGTCCTAAATAAAATTGTCTTCAACTGCCTCCTGAAGATCGGCAGTGAGGTGGTCAAGCACACGTCCCTGGGAGGGGGGGTTTCCATAACTGTGGGGCTGCCATGGAAAAGGTCCTCTCTTATGTACCCACTAAATGAGCATCTTTAATTGGTGTGATGGTCAGGAGGGCATCTCACCGTGATCATAATTCTCATCCAGGAACATATGGGAGAAGACAGTCCTTTAGAAACCCGTGCCCCAAGCCATGGAGGGCTTTAAAAGACAAAACCAACACCTTGAATTGGGCTCGGGAATGGATTGGTAGCCAGTATAATTGCTGTAGTATTGAGACATACACTCCCAATAGCTGGCCCCAACCATCAGTCTGGCCACAGCATTTTGCACTAGCTGCAGCTTCTGAACACTCCAAGCGAAGGCCCAAGTACAGTGCATTGCAGTAGTACAATCTAGATGTAACTAAGGCATGGACCACTTTGGCTAGATCTGCTGATCCAGGAACAGGCTCAGTTGGTGAACTAGCCAGAGCTGGGCAAATGCTCTCTGAGCCACAGCAGCCACCTGGTTTTCTAAGGTGACCACTATGTCAAGCGGCAGTCCCAAGCTGCAAACCTGGCTTTTCCAGGGGAGTATAACCCCATCAAAGACAGAGATCTCAAGTTCATGGTCTGCCTTTCTACTAATGCACAGAACATCTGTCTTGTAAGGATTAAGTTTCAGCTTATTCACCCTCATCCACCCAATTGTTGACTCCAAGCACAGGTTCAGAACATAAACAGCATCCTTAGAACTGGTGGAGAAGAAAGGTAGGACTGGGTATCATCTACAAATTGGTGGCAACCAAGCCCATACCTCTTGATGATCTCTCCCAGTGACTTCATCTAGGTTTTAAATAGCATGAGTGATAAGATGGAACCCAGCAGCACCCCACAAGTCAACAACCATAGGACAGAACAGGAATCCGGCAACACTATCTTTTGAGACCCCCCTCCCGATAGGACTCAAACCACCATAATATGGTGTCCCTTAGTCCCAGTGCTGAGAGGCGACTCAGTAGGATACTATGGTTGATATGTATGTATTTTAATATATCAGGATTCTCAGATTTGGTTTCTTGCTTTCCAGCCAGAACTATCTAACAAAATTTAACTCTAACTCAGATAACAAAAGAATAACCATTTAAATATGTTCTGCACTGTGTTTCATTGTTTCTATTTCATGTTCAGTGACTCTGTTTATAACTCCCCCAAAAAAGTTGTGTTCTTGGTAAGATCACATTGTATTGCCTGATGAGTATGCTAACCATGTGATATCTTTGCCAGATCTTGGATTTTAAAAAAAATCACTGTTGGATGCTACCACTAATGAGGAAACTTGTCGCATGCAACAGAATTAGTTCTAAGTGAAGACCTTTCTAGGCCTCATACATTTCATTGACTACCATGTGGTACTTTTCTAGGAATACATAGAGGGCAAAGACACTCACCTCTGCACAGCATAGAAGCTGGTAAAGGCAGGAAGTAGGCATATGAGTGGCAAGATGGAACATCTGTTCCACACCTAAGCTTTTGGTAGTTTCCTACCACTGACAATTATACCTGTTGTGTTTCATTTGCAAGATGCAGTGTCTGCTCATCTTTTTCTTTTGAATTAACAACTGGACACCAGATTGATTTGTATTAATGGCTGCGTTCAGATGGGCAGTTTCATCTGCTGTCGTTGCTGTTCCCTTATGGATTTAAAGTGCGTGATCAGGCAAAAACATCTGTCTGTCGTGATGCAGTCGTCTGAGTCCCATCCCCCCCCCCCGCTGTGTGTTTCTTTGATACCTGAGAAAGTCCGGTCCTGTTGATCTGAGCTGGTTCCAAAACGGATTTCTTGCTGTCTGATTGCTCTGTTGCGCACCCAGGCTGTCAGGCAGATCTAACTGGTTTCTTGTTTTCCAGACACCATTTTGTTTTACTAGTTAGCGAGGAGCGCATAACTGCATATACAAACCTTTCTCTGTTTCACGCCTCCCCAGGGGTTGCTCAAAACTTTGTTTTCTTTTTAAAGCTCTCAAAGAAAGACAGTTTTTTTTCTGTCCTTTGGGGAAGGGGTAAATTGAAAAGATTAGAGGGAGGATGACAGTGAACTCCATATCTCAGTTATCTCAGCAAGTGCTTGTGCACATGCTCAGAGGGCAAACTTTTAAAATAAATGGCTGACAGCCCATGAACTACATATCCTAGCATGCTAATCGATGCTTGTGGGCATGCTCCAAGGACAAACGTTTTTTAAAAAATGGCCGACAGGCTGACTTCCTGCTGCTGTCTGATCATATAAAAGCACTTTGAAGAGTGCTAAAAGAGTTGAGTCTAATCATGGCAAAATAACCTGGCTCAATTAGAGGTGGGGCAACAGGGATTGAACTGCCTATCTGAATGCAGCCTATATTAAGTTTTTACAGGTGACCCCATTCCCCCTCAAGGCCAGCATGAGTTGAGTTGAGTCTTAAATTCTTAGCTGATGCTCTGCATGATATTGGATTTCTCCTTTAACATATAGAGGCTCAACCTTGCTGAATCTATTTCGTCGGGGAGTCACGTATAATAACAAGGCATAATTAGTAGTAATACCGATAAACCCTTACAAAATCATGTATTTTGCATGGATTACTTCTTAGTACTACTTAAATCTTTGGTTAAAAGGGATAAAAACTTAAATTATGTTAGATTGGGCCAGCAAAAATCTTTTTTCCTGCAGAAATATTATTTTCTATTCTGGTAACCTGATAATGATTTATTTGAGAGGGGCAAAGATCATCTTCTGTTATTAAACTTACAGATTATCGAGTAAATGATAATGCTCCAACTATCCCATACAACCAATCATATGATCAGAATACAGGAGGATCCTACAACAGTTCAGACAGAGGAAGCAGTACATCTGGTAAGTATGAACTACAATCTAGGATCCTTTTAAGGACTGGAAAACCTTTATTAACATTTTAAAAGTTTTAATGTTATTTGAAACACTGTGCTATAATGTCGATACCTACTTTTTGCAAAATTACATTTTGAGAAAAGAATGGCTGGATTTCACAAACATATTTGTGTCAGCTGAAATAAACATACAATAAAACAGAAATCATACAGATTTCTAGAAAAATAGTTGAAAACAGGGCACGGCGGAGCCTGACTGGACAGAGCCGGAGCCTAGAGGCGAGCGCGGAGTCGTGCGCCTGCGCGGTCCCACCAGCGACAGCCGCCGGGACAAAGACGCCAGGAGAACAAGGTCGCCGGGAAAAAAGCAACAGCCACGCCAGAGCAACAGAATCGAGCCCTCCAACTGGGTGCTGGTAGGTTCCCCCACCCCATCATGTGTGGCCCAAGTTAGGGGAGTAATAAGGTTATTAGAACCACTACAAATGTAAACCGCCCAGAGACCCCTAGGAGTTAGGGCGGTATAACAAGTCGAATGATAAATAAAATAAATGTGACACTAGCGCCACTGCTGTTAGCCTAGTGATATTCTAGGTATCTTTTATGGTTGAATTAGAGAAGAGGCCACCTTCCCTTCCTGCCCTTTGCTTGACCCCTCCTCCCCTCATTCCCTGTGCTCTAGCTCTGCTTCTTTTCTCTTTTACCTAGTATCTACTTTTCCACACTGTACCCCTAGTACCCAGTTATCTCCATTCCCTCCCAATTGTCCTTCTTTCCTCCACACAACCCACATAGCCTCTCTTTCCTTCCCTTCAGAGTTTATCAGAGTACCCAATATGTCAGCTGAGATCTTAAAACTTGGCTTCTGGAAAAGAGTTTGTGTATGTTTGTTAGTGGTGATACTGCTAATGGCTAAAGATGTGAAGGCCCGGAAAAAAATGGGAAAATTTGGGGGGAAGGGGACGTGGGTTTTTTTCATTGTTTTCCTGAAGCCTGTTTTGTTTTTTTCTGAAAAATTGGAAAAATTGAAAAAAGAAAAGAAAAAAATGATTATGGAACGTTTTATTTTAACATGATAAATAAAATACTTTAAGACAAGATAAGATGTTCAAATGTTTTCCATATCATTTCTAAAAAATATGTATGGTATCAGATTGATATAATTTCTATGCACTGAGGACAAGCAAGTCCTAGGTTGGAAACTGAACTCTCCAATGCAAGAACAAGATGCATTTCTTCCTTTAAGAGGTACTGTTGTCACAAGAAAAGAAAAAGGTTTCAGTTTTGTTTTTGCATGTGGGTGGGTATTCTGTTTGTAATAATTTTTGGATACACTATATTTTTAATATGCTAGTTGTGATAATTTCATGCCAAGTAAAAATGTCCATAGTCATATTTTATGTTCCTAAAGTAACAGAATTACTTTCAATCTGGACAAGAAAAAAAAAGTGCTAATGTAGCATTGTTTTCCAATTTTTCTGAAAATTTCCGTTTCCCCCTGAAAAAAAACGGGGGTGGGTGGGGTTTTTTCCGAGCTTCAAAATTTTCGGAAATTTTACATCTCTATTAATGGCTATGTTTCCTTGTAAAATCTTATTTACTCTGTTAAATAAATAGATTTAAAATTGGTGTAGGATCTGATTTTATTTTGTTATGGCTTGGAGATACTGTATGTATGTGATTTTTTTAAAATGCTGTGCACAGCTAAAGCAGACCAGTGTGAACTAGTAAGAGAAATATTTCTGATGAGTAGTAATTAAGGGAGAATTGCACTATAATCAAGTAATATTGCTATCAACCTGAAGAAGAAGAATACATTTTTGGTGACAACCAATTCAGATCAATTTTTACAAATGCATTTTTGCTTAATTGTGTTGGGTGGGCCATATAGAATTACAGAGGGGGCTTCTGCATGTGCACTTGGTATTTCTGATGGTATCAGCCTCCTCCACTACAAAAGCAAATGAAGTAAAGTGGGCGGAGTCCTCAGGAACTACTACAGGTCCCAGCAAAGATTCTACTTTCCCACTTCATGCTACCAAGAATAAAACATCATGTGAAACTAAATAACATTGGCTTCCATGGTTACCATGCCCTCATCCCCATCTCCTTATTACCACAAATTCAGTGACCCTCACAGTGTGAGTGTCTGCAGTTAGAAAATAAATTTTGGAAATCCTGTCTGAAGCGCATAAACACTTGGGGATAGGGCTGTATATCCTGCAATTCGTGATCTAAAAATTTATGATTTGGGTAATTACTATGATTTCTGGAATGGTAAATACAAACCTGGGATTCTTAGGTATTACAACCCTCCACCCCCAATCCATGTTATTTTTGTGTGTGTGTTTTCAATAGTCATCTCATTTTTCTGCGATTCTCCTGATTTACTGTGCAATGGCAATTCTCTCTTCCCACGGGATCCTTGAAAGGGATCTGGAGAGTACTCCCAGCCAATTAGCAATGGAAACAAGCTCCAGAGAAGGAATTTTTAAGGCCCATAACTGTCGCCATGAGTCACGTTGCATTTTCAGAAGAAAGGAGACCCCACCCACCATGAACAATTTAAATAGTAGTAGTAATAAAGGTACCCCTACAGTGGATATGCAGCATGAAAGCATGCCTCATAACAATAGGATTATTGATTCCTTATGTACAAACACACCTATACATACTCTGTTTCTTTTTGAGAAATTAGAACTATTTTCAGACATTGCAGTGACTGTGTGGGGTGGTGGCTTTTTGCAAATGATTTTTTCTTTCCACAACAAGGAAGTGTGGTGAATGCAGAGTTTTCAGCAAAAAGGTGTGTGTGTGTGTGTGTGTGTGTGTGTGTGTGTGTGTGTGTATGTATGTATGTATCAATAGGATCTCCATAAGATCATCTAAAGACACTGGATGCAGCTAGGAATTTTTAAAATCAGGAATAAATGGTATCCTCACCAAATTCAGATACAAGATTATAATATCATTTGTCTTAGAGTGCACTCCTACTTGAAAGCAAACATTAAGATTCTTTGGCAACATGCAAAAAAAATTCAAATACTGAGATGTCACTGTTCCTGAATTTTTAAAAAATTAATATTCCCAGAAGTATACAAATTAGCTGCATATCTCCCAAGTGCTAATCTTGATTACAACTTGTGTTCAATTTCCATTCCAAATGCAACAGTACCTGAATAATTGGTATTTTTTTCAGAACTGTTCCAATGGCTAAAGAGTGGCTGAAAACATTTATGCCATACTGTCTTCTACTACTTTCATGTGGGTTGGTTTAGCTCTTTCAGTGATTATTTTCAGCAGCATCTGCTATTTGGAATAAATTTAGTTATTCCATTGTGCCTGAAACATTTCAGTGGACAAGTACAAATTAGGTATATTCATTAACTTAATGCAACAGTGGAACTTTAGTAGATCATATCTATATCATATTGTGTGCTTAAGCTTCAGCAATTAAATAACAGAAAGATGCTTTGGAGAATATATTTACAGCTCATTTGTTTTAGATGACAATCTATAATGTAATTAATAGCTGCATGAAGATCACTTCAATTATATTTCTTGTAAGTTCATTCATGGCTTTGATGTGTTTTATCCATTTATTAATTCACCTTACGAACTTTGTGTGTATTTCTTTGTAAAACTACACTTCAGCAAAATATTGAGAAATGGGTGGGGGGAGCCAAAGCAACAATTATGCAATATATATTGCCAGTGTCTAGATAGTCATAAATATTAAGAAGTTCAACAGAAGGCAAAATGTGTTCTAGTTTTTCAGTTACTTAGTTTTTTGGCTATCTGAAGTAACATGAAAAAAATGGTTTATTTTAACTATGGAATCAGGATTTAGTGTAAAATTGACCATTCAGTGCTAGCTTGCCTGGACAAATCCTGGTTTCAGAACATTCTTGTTTTCTTTTAAAAAACATGAAGTTCCTATCCCATCTTTTGTTGCAGCACTCCCACTGAGTTGAAATTTCATCATGGTTAATAGCTTACTTTCTATTGGACAGATTTACTGTAGGGCTATAAATCCATGCTGCCTTTCCTCATTCCAAATGAGGATACATTGCAATTAAGTTGAACCATTTACATACATACACACAACTTCCAACAGTCCAACAGAATACCACTCTCACCCCCCATTTGGTTGTACTTTTGATAACCCTGTTCTACTTCGCCGCTGCTGGAGCTTGTGTGGCATACCTCTAGTCATTGGGTGACTTCAGGCCAGTCAAAGCCTTGCCTACCTCATATGGTTGTTTTGAGAATAAAAGGACAAAAGTTGTAAGCTACTTTGGTTCCCCATAGTGGTAGCCAACCCCAAGGTGGGGTCTGTAGTTCTCCTGGGATTACAACTGATACCCAGGCTACAAATATCAGTTCCCCTGGAAAAAGTGCAGTTTTAGGAAGTGGACTCTGTGGCATCACATTCCTGCTACACTTCTCCCCAAGTTCTGCCCTCCCTAGGATCTCTGTGGAAATATCCAGGAACTTCCAAACCTGGAGTTGGCAACCCTAGTACCCTTTGGGGAGAAGAGTGTGATATAAATTAATTGAATAAATAGTGGTCAGGTCTGAAAGTCAACACTCTTTTTGACACTACAGGTGATTATTTATTTGATTAGGCTTCTATACCACCCTCCCCATGAATGGGTTCAGGGCAGTGCACAGCAAATTCATATAAAATACATATAAATACAAACCGTCTAAAATCAAAATCCATAAAACCTAGCTTCTATATAGCTCCATAATACAAATTTATGACACCCCCCCAATTTACATTAGCGTGGGGGGAGAGGGGGTAAAAAGCAGTTAAAAGCCAGATAGTTGTTAAACTGCTAAGAAACCATTAAAAACCCCATTGTCCTCAACTGTATGCTTGGCAAAACAGCTCTGCCTTGCAGGCTCTGTGGAATTGTAACAAGTCCTGCAGGCCCCTGATGTTGGTAGGCAGAGAGTTCCACCAAGTCAGAGCCAGGGCTGAGAAGGCCCTGGCTATGATTGAGGACAGCCGGGCGCTCTTTGGGCCAGGGGCTTCCAGTAGGTGTTGATCTCCTGAGTGTAATGCTCTCTGGGGGACATACCAGGAGAGGTGGCTCCATAGGTATGTTGGTCCCTGACCGTTTAGGTCCTTAAAGGTCAAGACCAAAACCTTGAACCTGACCCAGTACTCAAATTGGAGCCAATGCAGTTGGCAAAGCACAGGTTGGATATATGCAGTTATCGGTGTCCCCGTAAGGACCAGAGCTGCTACATTTTGGACAAGCTGTAACTTCCAGATCAGCCTCAAAGGTAGTCCCATGTAGAGCAAGTTACAGTAATCAAGTCTAGAGATAACTGTTGCGTGGATCACTGTGGCTAAGTCAGAGGGAGACAGGAAAGGGATCAGTTGCCTGACCTGTCATAGTTGGAAAAATCCCAGCCAGGCAACATTTGTGACCTGGGCCTCCATTGACTTTTGACCATGTGTGCCAGTGTTAAAGGCACATGATTAAGGGTCAGGAGTTGGCACCTCAAACCTGAATCTCCCCCACCCAGCCAGAGAACTTCCTTCTTTGATGGATTCAGCCTCAGCCGACTCTGCTTCAGCCACCTCACCACGGCCTCTAGACCCTTGGCCAGATTTCCTGGGGTTGCATCTGGCCATCCATCAACAGATAGCTGTCATCAGCATACTGATGGCAACCCAGCCCGAAACTCTGCACCAGCTGGGCAAGGGGGCTCATGTAGATGTTAGACAACATCGGGGAGAGGATAGCCCTCTGAAGGGCCCCATATGTCATGGGGTATCAAGAGGAAACCCTCTCACCCAACACTACCTCTGTCCCCGACCATGGAGAAAAGAGGCAGTCCACTTCAGGGCTGTCCCACATACTCCAATGTCGCTTGTTTTGAGGATAACATAACATGCTTTACAGAACTGTGCCTGTGCCATTCCAGTGACCCTGATCATTATGCTTGTAGTGGCACAAGTGATAGATGGAGCATGTGCTCTCCTCTTATTTTACCCTTGGTAGATCAAGTGGGATGCATCTCTGCAGCCTGCCTTGAAGCCCAGCTGGGCAGCAGCAACACAATGGTTAACAAGAAATGATCTCCCAACCTCAGATGGTTGTAGCACAGATGGGGAAAGCTGGCCTTGTACTGCAGCATGATAAGACAGCTTATTTGGAAGTTGACCTTCCTCCCAAACCTACCTACACACAAGCCTGCTTTGCATGGTGAAACATGAAAGGTTCTTCTAATTGCTGCATGTAAGGGTGGAACATTCCAGGCAAAGGGTGGTATCACCTTTGAACCTCGTTTTGAACTCTGTAGCTAGGACAACCATGAAACATTGACAGGAAACAAGCCATGTTTCAGCCAAGATATGTGTATTCATACATTAAAGTAAGTCTGGTTAATAAACCAACTTCATATCCTACTTTTAGCTCCTACCATAGTTAGTATATTGACTTGCATTTGCACAACCAATTAACTATGGTTGATTTAATTAAATCATCATTTTGCTCTATGTCTGAACAGGGCCAATGTAAAGAATAGATTCTTCATAATCTAATTAAATTGTTACATGGTTAGCTCCTACCATAGTTAGTATATTGACTTGCATTTGCACAACCAATTAACTATGGTTGATTTAATTAAATCATCATTTTGCTCTATGTCTGAACAGGGCCAATGTAAAGAATAGATTCTTCATAATCTAATTAAATTGTTACATGTTTAATTTTTTTTAGAATACAGTACCAGGATTACATAGTTCATTCTAGAAAGTAAGATCAATTATATGAATATATTTCTTCATAGGGAGTCAAGGGCACAAGAAGGGTGCTCGAACCCCCAAGGCTTCAAAGCAGGCTGGAATGAATTGGGCAGACCTACTTCCTCCTCCCCCTGTACATCCACCTCCCCATAGTAATAGTGAAGATTATAGTATTTCAGTGAATGAAAGGTAAGAAGAAATAATGGTTTGTCATTGAGTATTTTGCTGTCTTCCAGTGGCTCAAATTCACGTAATTTCATAAAAGGATTTGAGATCTCGTTGGAAATGAATTTTCAGTCAGTTGACCATAATTTACCTGACTGTGCCCTAGGTTCTACTTCTCATTTTTCTAAATCAATTCTTAGCTATGACCAGGAGATCCCATGCCCGGTACCACCAGCAAGAATGTATCTACAGCAGGATGAGCTGGAGGAGGAGGAAGATGAACGAGGTCCCACACCACCAGTTCGAGGAGCAGCTTCATCTCCAGCAGCAGTGTCCTATAGCCATCAGTCTACTGCCACGCTAACTCCTTCCCCCCAAGAAGAACTCCAGCCTATGTTGCAGGATTGCCCAGAAGAAATAAGCCACTTGCAACACCCACCGGACCGGAGGTCAATTATTCAGCCATGCTGAGAGCTAACTTTTATTTAACTTTCTGTTATGATATCAGCACACTAAGTTTAAATCACAAATTCCAGTGATTAGTCCATTGCAGCAAAAACAAGCTTTGTTTTGGATGTACATATGTACAATTATTTCTTCACAGTTTCAGATTGGGATCTGGAAGACCAGGGTTAGAATCACCACTCTGCTTTGGAAGCTCACTGGATGCCCTTGGGCCAGTTATATATTCTCAGCCTAACCTATCTCACAAGGTTGTTGTGGGGATAAAATAGAGGAAAGAAGAGTGATATCAGCTGCTATGGGTTCCCACTGTGGAGAAATATTGGGTATAAATGAAGCAATTAAATAATTAATGAAGATGGGAGCAGATAAAAAGCAGCTTGGTGATTGACTGAGGCAGGGAAAGATGGAGAGGATACGGGGGTTGCCAGGAGGCAGGATAGAGGAAACAGACCAAGGAGAGGAATACTGGAGGTGAGGTTTCCCCCTCTGTAAGTCTTTGCAGGTTTCCTACCATACAACTAGATCTAGCCCAGTGGCTGGCAGCACACAACTGGGCTAAAAATTTCCTGGGTAGAAGCTGCAGGGGAAAGGAAGGAATTCTGAAGACAGGGAGGCAGGTAAAAGTAGCTTGGTTGGTAGGTGCCTAGGAAAGAAGGAAGCAGGAAAAGAGGCTATGGGGGTTTTCAGGGAAGGGAAATAGAGGGGGAAGGGGAAATGAGATTCCCTTCACAATTACTTGCAGTTCTCCTTCCTGTTCTATGCTGATTTAAGAACTGATCAGAGGAAAAAGCCAATTATGTTTTCATTGTTAAGATGAATTACTTTTCCACTTCACGGTCTAATCAACAGTTGCCACATTAAGAAAGAAAACTCATTTCAGTGCTGCCTTAGGTGTGACGGCAGCATAAAAATGCTACAAATAAATTAATAGAAACAGATAACAAAAAATGAAATGTAAGAAATTTATGAATATTGTGTTAACAATATAATACATCTATCAATATGTACATGTTTGTGTGCAGGCGTCAGCCCGTGAGTCCTCCTCCACCTCCAAGGCCTATCTCTCCACCACATACCTACGGTTATATTTCAGGACCTCTTGTATCAGACATGGATACAGATGCACCAGAGGAGGAAGAGGATGAAGCAGATCTAGAAGTTGCCAAGATGCAAAATAGAAGACTCCTTTTTCGTGGCCTTGAGCAGACACCTGCTTCAAGTGTAGGAGATCTGGAGAGCTCTGTGACAGGTTCCATGATTAATGGCTGGGGATCAGCCTCAGAAGATGACAACATATCTAGTGGACGGTCTAGTGTTAGCTCATCTGATGGATCCTTTTTTACAGATGCAGATTTTGCACAGGCTGTTGCAGCAGCAGCAGAATATGCTGGTCTTAAAGTAGCAAGGCGTCAAATGCAAGATGCTGCAGGAGGTGAGATTTTTCCCGATTCATATATTTGACAAGAGATTTCTATCAAATATGCAATTAGGCATAAAACTTCCTGAGTAACAGCAAAGGTTAAAAATTATTCTTATATTAATCTTCTGAACACATAAAAAGTTATATACCTGTGTAAAACTGGAGTAAAACCCTTGTTAACAAAAAGCTTTTTCAAATATATGTGTGCACCTGCAATTAAGAAATAGAAACTTTCAGTACTTTTTAAAAGTATGTATGTGTGCAAAAACTGCAGTCAAAAAGTAATTATATACCAAAATATACAAAAAGGAGAAGCAATAAATAACAAAACACTGATGTTATGTGAAGGAAAATAAAGAAAGAACAGTGACAAAAATACTGCTCCACTTTTTAACCAATACCCAATTTTTAACATTACTAAAGAATCAGAAGTAATGCATGTAAAAATACAAATGCTTATACCCCTGAAAGATTTTTATTTACAGTCTTTTCTCTATTTACTTCTTTTGTTTTTGTTTCATCTTTCTCAGTCCACCATTTCTTCTATAATGATGTGGTAGTAGGAGCTGGATCTATCACTACAGATAGGTGGGCACAGCTACATTGATCCACCACCAGTGTTCCCTCTAAGCTGAATCAGTGTGAGCTAGCTCATGGTTTTTAAGCCTCTGGCTCACACGTTTTTGTCTTCGCTCAGGAAGGATGGCCCCAGGGCAAACTAATTTATGCAGCAGCCAAATTGCTCGCTCATAACTTTCATGCAAGGAACTCACAAAGTAGATTTTTTGCTCACAAGACTCCACAGCTTAGAGGGAACATTGTACAAATTTATGTGTGCGTATATTTCTAGGCAAGTTCATTGTTAGTTGCTTCTCCTTCACTCTTCAAGATATGCCTCTGGCTCCTGCTGGACTTTACTTAGATTCACAAAACCAAACAAGGACCCACGGTAAGTAGGAAAACCAACATACAACAAGTACCGTGCACAGATGATTATAACATATCATAAATAATTTTATATTTTTTGAAAAATATTTTTACAATAATTTGTACATATATAATAAATCATCTTGATCAAAAATATCAAAAATCATCTCCAAAAATCTCAAAAGATTCTTTACTTAGAAGCAAAACAGATGTGAAGCAGGGTTTCTGTGATGGAATGTACTAACCTCTTTTAAATTTAAATCAGCCAATGGCTGTTGATCTTTTTTCTTCCACATTGTCCTCCATCTAAAAATCTACACCTTCAGCCAACAGTGGGGGAAAAAAATAGGTATATGTCATGCCTGGACTGCTGTGGAATAATAGCAAAGCATGTTGCTTGTGTGTGTTCTACTTCAAGAAGGTGGCATGGGGAGCTTAAACATCCTTTACAACTGCTTCTTCAATCAACATCAGAGTTGCCCTCCTCTCCTGTGGTTGCTTTAAAGTTTCAGGGCTTTTTTAAAAGTCACATTAGTTTCAGTCCTCCTTTCCCATTGGTTACATGAGGAAAGGATAGCATCAGCAGTCTGCAAATATAAATCTAGAACCCCAGGGCAAAAGCCTTCATACATTCTTCTGACAACTCAAGAGTGTCCCATTTTCACAAATGTATTCCGTAGAAGAACTTGCCAATTATTTATGCCTACTACAGTTTATGACAACATTGTAAATATGTCATGGAAAAATTATGTTCCCCACAGTAAAGTTCACTTTCTACTACCATTACAACAGATTTTCTTCTACTGCATGTTTGCTTGTCTCCTCCTATAAGAAAAGCCTGTATATTGTCTTTCCTTTTTATATATATAGTTTGGCCACTCTTCTGAAGAGCTATTCAAGTCAGTATATTTAATTCTAAAAATGGCCCCATCTGTGGGTACTTAAATCAAGAGACTGGAGCCATGGACAGACAAGGCAGATCATTCTACAAATCTGAGAAAAGAAAAATCTGAAAAAACACTGGAGAGTTAAAAATCCACCAAAATGATAGAAGCAGCTCCTGTAGCTTTAAGATACTAATAATCTCAGTGGATGTTGTTAAGCAACTACAATAGTATTGGGGAGGGGCTGCTTGGCATGCAGGAGGTCTCAGGTTCAACCCCTGGAATCTCCAGTGGGAAGGATCAGGTAGCTAGTGATGTGAAAAACTTTTGCCTGAGACCCTGAATAGCCACTGCATGTCTGAGTAGACAGTACAGACTTTGATGGCCCAAGGGTGTAATTCAGTATAAGGCAGCTACAGGTATTCATTGTCAGCCTTCAAGCCCTGGTTTCTGACAGTAAGATACAGGTCAAGGGGGCAGTGCCCTTTTCAGGGCTTTTTTGGCTTTTGAGGGAAGATGCATCAGGGTCAGGCCTAGCTACAGGCAGCAACCACCAAGCAACTTGCTACTATACAACTTTCATGACTCACCCAGTCCCAGCTGCTTCCTATTGACCAACAGCAGCAACCACACAAAAGCCAGTGTGGTCTAGTCATTAAGAGTTTCAGACTAGGATCTGTGGGATCCCAGGTTTAAATCCCCATTTTGGCATGGTGTTCACACAGTCCCAGCCTAACCTACCTCACAGGGTTGTTATGAGGATAAAATGGAGAGGAGGAGAATGATGTAAGTTGCTTTGGCTCCCAATGTGGTAAATGGTTGAGTATAAATGAAGCAAACAATAATAAATATAGCTGAAGACAGGGGCAGATAAAAAATTAGTTGGTGGGTAGAAAGGAGAGAAAGAAGCAGGAAAGCTTGAGGTTATGTGGGCTGCCAGGAGGAGGGAAAGCGAAAATAGGGAGGGGAATTCCAGGGAAGGGAAGACATCCCCCACAAGTCCTTCAAGCTGTTCTTGAAAGAGCAGTTTCTGTCAGAACTCTCACAGCCACACCAACCTCACAGGGAGTCTGTTGTGGGGAGAGGAAGGGAAAGGAGTTTGTAAGCCGCTCTGAGACTCCGATTGAAGGGCGGGGTATAAATCCAATCTCTTCTTCCCACAATGTAACCAGGCTCAGCCCAGTGACTGGAACCAGGCTAGTAGCCACAGTGGTCCACAAAGGGGTGGGGCCCCATCAATCATTTGTCATGCCCCCCAATTAGTAGTGGGGATTGTTGTGAAATCTGATACATGTATTCTGCCAATGAGAGGGCATTTCCCCCTCCTCCCACCTTACTCCTAGGCTTTGCCAAGGAGGGAGAGATTCTCTGTCTCTCCTCCCACCTGCTTCCCAGGCTTTGCCAATAAGGGAGAGAGTCTCCTTCCCTCCTCTCACCTCTTTCCCAGGCTTTGCCAGTGAGGGAGATCCGCACAAAGTTGCTGCTCCTGCTGTTCTCTGAAGCATGTGACACAGTCTTTTTCCTGCCATAGCTTGCTAGCTTGTGCCAGTCATGAATTCCTCTGATCTGAATCACTGTAGAACATTAATGTAGAAGCTTTGGAGGGGGGTCCCAAATGAGGAGTGTTTAAGTGTAATTAAAATCAGAGGGGTGGGTGGCAGCATCAGCAGCCTCTGTATTCTGCCTTTCACAAGTGGACTGGTGTTGATTCTACAGTGAAACACTTGCGATCGTGACCATTTTACAGTGTGTGCTGGTGCCCATGCAGCTGTTTTGGCCCTTGAAAACACTTGGGGTGGGGGAAAAGAGTTCTGCACCACAAACCCACAGTGGATCAGAACATCACAGCATTTAAAATCACTGTAAAACGGTGATAGTGAATTGGTGCTGGCAGCAGTTTTGCCTTCTCTTTTAAATGGGCTCAGCAAGGAGGGAGGGAGTCAATATCTGTATCTGTAGAGGCGAGCCTCCCCAGCTTCTCTTCCCATCTGCATGAAGCAAAAAAGCCACCCTCCCCCTGCATGCCAGGCAGACTTAGAGATGTAAAATTTCTGGAAATTTTGAAGCTCGGGAAAAACCCGTTTTTTGCCCAATTTTTTTTGGAAAAAAACTGAAATTCTTGGAAAAATTGAAAAAAATGCTACATTAGCATTTCTTTTGTCTTTTCTA